GCCTGGGGAGAAGAGAAAACCGACAACTTGTGGTAAGAGTGTGTGTTGTAGAATTAAGAGGTTTGGAGGAAGACCCTTGTAGTTGTTTGAGAATAAGATAACTTCTTAATTTCTTTCAAATGTTTTCAGTTCTAGCCCGGTTCAAAGCCCGGTCGGTTCAAATTCTGGGTAGAGGGTTTACTGTATACGTTCGGGTGTAGATTAAGGTGAATAATAATAATTTGGTCACTTCAATCCACCACTGTTTGTGGGGGATGCTCCTGTGCGCAATTGGCTGCCGGGTTTGGCCCACAAAATATGTAGTCAATTCACTTCACAGTATATATTCTGAGCAGCGCTTTGAGACATCTCGAAGACGTGATAAGGCGCTATATCAAATGTAAGGATTATTATTATCATTATAATTATCATTATAAAGTGTTACACAGATGTGGAACTTCACACTTTCATAGAACAGCACCTGTTTTTTGTAACTTTACTGAGAAGCCTTTTCACTTAATTCCCCTTCCTCTGTACGTCTGCCCCCAGTCCTTCTATATAATTTTGTCATTAATATACCACTCACCTCCAACTGCAGGAGGATTAATTAAACATTAAAATGTTCTGTCTGGATAAATGCCAAGCCTCAAACACTCCATTTGACAAGGACACTGTTTGAAGTTTGATAAAAATATTCAAATTCTGCACTGTGTGACAAACTTATCTACAATAAAGGAAGAAGCAGGCTTCAAAAAAATTTGCTACTTCAAAACATTAACGTTCTGACATTTGCGTTCAGCAAATGAATATTTCAGCAATTTGAAATATCTAAACTTAGGAAAAAAAAAAGTCTCAGTACCTTGCAGTAAAGATTGTGCAGTCGACAAGTGAAACATGGAGACTGAGGCGTTGTCAATTTGTGTCTGGGAACTTTTATCTTCCAACACACACCATGTTGTGCCAATTGACCCAAACAGGAAGATTAATCTAGACAGGGAGGAAAACTTCCTACAAGAACTTTGAGCTTGCTGGAAACACAATCGCCAAGGGTGGATTCGGAATCAACCCACAAGTCCACGTAGCAACAGATAGTGGTGATCTTAACACAGCAGTGGTACATAGGGGCAGGAGAGGTTAAGAGGGAATCAGTCCAAAGACTACAGTGTAGAACATTGATGGTACACACACTACCGTCCAGCAGGATGTGGGTTGACATCAAAGTTACTGCTGTGTTGTAAGTCTGATTAGCTACGATTTTACAACCGTTAAGGCTCTCCCGATGACTAAACTTCTCAGCAAATGGAAAAACCATACAAGTCAGTAAGATCTCATCGATCCTCTGAGATAGCTGATCGTAAACGAGGAAGTGTTGGCTTCAGGGTCTCAGGTTATAGAAGGTAATCGTTTTAAAAAATGGTTACAGGACCGATTCCATATGTTCAGAAAATTAATTCATAAGGCTCGAGAATGTAGGAGCACAAAGCAGATAAAAGGTTAAAGAAGGTCCTATCTCTCTTTCTCTCAGCAAGACTTAACCTAATTTACCTGAAGAATAACAGCACATTGCATTTGTATAGCGCCTTTCAAGTCAGGAGGACGTCCCAAGGCACTGAAAGAAGAGGCATTTGGAGCAAGAAAACTTGCCAAACGCTTTGTCCTGCCTGGGAATCAAAATAAAGGCCTCTCGTTTACTGCTCCACTGGCGGTAAACCCACCTCACCCCCACACTAAGCAGGTAAAGTAGACAACTTATTAACTAAACAACTTCGGTTCTGGAAAAAGATCTAATGTTCACAAGAGATCGTTGAAAGTTTGGTGTTGGGAGGATGTATTGCAGTGATGCATTACGTGCATCTCTCTCAAACATAAAAGCTGCACTGACAAACACCCTAAAGAAGCATCAACAAAGTACGTAGGTAGTTCAGGACATATGTGTACCCAACCGCCAGGAAAGTGGAAGGCGAACTAGGTCTTCTTTCGTCTGGTGTTTCTTATGTTCTTATTAACACAGACGGGAATGTTGCTTCCCAAAATCCTCAGTCAGGGAATGCCCAGTTAAGGAGAGAGAAAAACTAAAGATCGTAAAGTGCTCCTCATCTCTGGAATCAAGTCCTTGACGACTGATCCTCCATTGTCTCCAGCTAAGATCCGACTCGATAAGGAATCTTTGACCCTCAAAGTGCCGATTCCTTCAAATACAATGAGCGGCTCCTGGTCCTGGAATAACGTACACACATATATGGAGTATTTCCAAATGCAAAGCCCATTTAAGGATACGATCCTTGCAATCAAGAGAACCAAACTGTCTGGTGTTCTCACCCACCGAGGGAAGTTGAGGCATTCTAAATACAATGCACTTTATGCCACGAGAAGGAAGTTTGTTTGGAGCCAGTGCCATTTCTTCAGCAGAAATCAAAGAACGAATACAATTCATGTTTCAAGTTAAAGATCAAAGAGGTGATTTATCGAATGGAGCTTTGGCTTGTGGAGACCAGCATGTAACTCAGTTGTACACATTTTAAATGTGGAGTTGTAGCTCAGTGGTTAGAGCACTCGCCTGGCAAGTGAGAGACCTGGGTTCGATTCCTGGCGGGGTGAAACCTTGGGCAAGTTTACTTACTCCGCACGCCTGATAATAATCCCTGAAGAAAAATAATTTGGTCACTTCAATCCACGACTGGTTGTGGGGACGCTGCTGTGCGCAATTGGCTACCGCATTTCGCCCACAAACATACAATCAATTCACTTTACGGTGTATTCCGTGAAGCGCTTTGAGACCTCTCGAAGACATGAAAAGCACTATATCAAATGCAAGGATTATCATTATTACACATCATGGTGAGATCAAAAACTCGCTACGTCCTAAGAACCTTCAGACGATGGGACCCTTCTATAAGCAAGATCTATTCTAAGATTTGGATTCTCTTGAGTCTATAATAATGGTTTGATAGTTCAGTTATTTACTCCCTCAGTCCATCCTCATTCATCTCCTGTGGCTTCCCATGCCCCAGCAAGATGACATCAAGGTTCCTACCCTCACTTTCAAAAGCCTCCGTGACTTTGCCCACCCTCCTGCCCTGGCCACTTCTTCTTCTCAGCCTCACCAGCTTGTGTCACGTCCTTTGCCCGTTTGCCCCCAACTCCAACATGGGTGGCTGAGCCTTCAGCCACTCTGCCCCTATTCTCAGGATAGACTGCAAAGTGACTTGACTGCGTACTTTGTGGGCGAAACTCCGCAGCCAATTGCGCACAGTTCCCCGCAATCAATTGTGATGAGAGAGAAGGGGGAGAGAGGGAGAAAGAGAGAGAGAGAGAGAGAGAGAGAAAGTGGGAGAAGAGAGAGAGAGAGAGAGAGAGAAAAAAGGAGAGATGCAAGACAATGAGAGAAAAATATGCTGCCAACTCCTTTCAAGCTGGTAAGCTAAGTCCATCACACAAACCGGTTATGACACCAGCAGTCAGGAATCCTGCAATGTGCCCAGGGGCTCATTTGCAGCAGGATCTCGGGTGAGATGTGCTTGCATCGTATTACCGCAATCTGTGTAAACCGAGGGGTATAACAAAGCCCGAGAGTTACACTGGCAATTATGAGCCAAGTTGCTGATTTTGGCAGGATCGCCTCAATAGGAAAACTACAGGCCTTGCCAAACTCGGTGGAATGGAGGGAAAAACTGTAGCAGGAGTCTAAAAATGTAGCCTCTTCCCAGTTAGGATCAGTAATGTTTGCAATGTTTTCTTTGCCTGCAATGTCAACACCTCGCTCCCCTACCGTAGCCAGGAAAGACAGAAATAGACTTTCGTACAAAATGCAGAGTTAATGGTTCGACAGACGTTACGAAATTGGGCCGGTTTACAAAAAAAAAAGGTAAAAAAAAAGAAGAGAAAAGGAAAGAGTTGAAAAAAAAAACCACAAATGGACTCCGAGAAACGAGAGGGAAGCCTTGCTCCACATTGCACACAAGAAGCCTGGTGCACTTCCAGCTCAGCATAGATTTCCTCGCTCCTCCTGCCTGTTGAGCAGAGTGTCAGATCTGACCCCGCTGAAGGCAACCTTTAGGCGAGATTCTGCCAGTTTTCGCGCCAACGTCCTATACGATGAGCGCAGTGCCATCTTTTCCTTGTCCCACGCTGACCATGCTAAAATATGCTTTCGAATGCCGGCCTTCTCTTGAACGTCCGCACGTTTTGCTCTCCGAGGTCTGGCTAAGCTACATCGTACTCCCTGCCTGCGAGGAGCAGGTAAGGTATTCACCGTTACGATGTTGTACATCTAGTAGAAGGTGTCTGAACACAAAGTGCTCCCTTCAGACTTTCCTTCCCTTCTAAGTGCGGAGAAAACCAGGCTCTGTGCCGTCAGCACCTGCTGTCAAAATAAAAACAGGCTGCGCAATGATTTGCTATCGCTCTGCTATCAGTCAGTACGCTGTATGTAACGCACACACACAACCCCCCACCCCCCCCCACCCCCATTAGTACCAACAGCCTGTAAATGCCATACCTCATTGCTGCCAATAGATGTCCTCAGCATGCTTTCCAACTGCAACCCCCCTCAGTTGAGACAGAATTAGCAACACCTATTGGCAGGAATGGAGCTTCTATGAAACATCATCGAAACCAGCGATGGGACGGGATACCAGGCAAAAGCCAGCCAGAAATGGGCAAACTTATGGGGAACACGGATGGGCCCGCAATCACCGGCGGACCCAGGCCCGGGGGACAAAGGACCGAAATGTCTTAAAACGAAAGAGGCCATTTATCTCCCGAGAGATTCCAATCCCATAGCAGCAGCCAGAGAGCTCAACTTGCAAAGGCAGCCACAGACAGGAAATCACTCCCTGTGAGCAATAATCTGACCCCCATTTCACCAAGTTTGTATTTAAAAACAATTTATCTGAATCACCAGGGACCGCGGACTCGACCACCAGCACAAATGCCTCAGGTCCACCAGCTTCCATCAGATTCCTGCTCATTTAGGGAAACCGGTTTGTTCGATTAAGCTGACGTTTTACCACCATACATACTTTCCAGTCGGGCCCCAGCTGTCCTCGGCCAGTCTTTACCGACTTGAATAACGCTGGGTCCTCGTCAGCTTTGTAATCCTGTGTAACGAAGAGAAAGGAGAAGCAAGGAGTCAGCAGAAGGCACCTACAATAGCCCACTTGTCAGCAACTTACACCTCTGCTTTGATTCATAAATAGTTATTGATAAACTTGTGATTGGAGACAGTGTCCTACATCCAGCTGAGGACATGATGCTGCTTGAGGTTTGACAGTTGCAGTATAGTGCGATGCACCCTAGATCCCAATTATTACTGCAAATGAGCAGTAGCGTGGAATGAGACAGCCTGCTGGCTTAGTTAGCTCTCAGTGTGCGAGCGGACCAGGGAGTCTGGGTGCCTTTCAGCCTGGGGCTCAGCGGTTCATCATGGCCTGCCACCAGCTGCAGACTTCCCATCTCATTATCCCTCATCGAGCAGTGGTAACAGAGACAGCTGTAACGTTTCCAACTCCTCAGCTAGCAATGCTCAGAGGCCAGAGCGTGGTGTGCACTCTACCTAACCCGAGCAAAAAAAAAAAACACAGCAGCCCTAGTGGAGTTACTGATTGTGCGCTCAAGTCAACATCTCCTAACGTCAATTAAAAACTCTGTGTCATTGCAGAATTATACATTGCTGATTTAGCCATAGGAGGATGCCATTCAACCCATCCAGTTTGTTCCGTTGTGGAGTCCTTGTGTAGCTCAGTGGTTAGAGCACTCGCCTCGCAAGTGAGAGACATAACATCATAACATACATTACATAACATGTAGGAACAGGAGTAGGCCATTCGGCCCTTCGAGCCTGCCCCACCATTCAATCACGGCTGATCTTCTAATCTAACTCCAGCTAATAACCTGACCCTGCCTTATCCCCATATCCCTTAATCCCTTTTGCAATAAGAAATCTATCTATCTCAGTCTTGAATATGTTCAAGGACTGAGCGTCAACAGCCCTTTGGGGTAGTGAGTTCCATACATTCACCACCCTTTGAGTGAAGAAGTTCTTCCTCAACTCAGTGCGAAAGGGCTGCCTCTGATTTTAAGGTTGTGACCACTGGTTTTAGTTTCTCCAACCAGGGGAAACAATCTCCCACTATCTACTCTATCATGCCCTTTGATGATCTTATAGGTTTCTATAAGATCCCCTCTAATTCTTCTATATTCTAGAGAATATAGGCCCAAATTGGTCAGCCTATCCTCGTAACTCATCCCCTTCATCCCTGGTACTAACCCAGTAAATCTACGCTGCACCCCCTCCCAAGGCAAGTACATCCTTCCTTAAATAAGGAGACCAAAACTGCACCCAGTATTCCAGGTGTGGTCTCACCAGGGCCCTATACAGTTGCAGCAAGACTTCCCTACTCTTATACTCTAATCCTTTCATAATGAATGCTAACATACCGTTCGCCTTCCTAATTGCTCGCTGCACCTGCAGACTAACTTTCTGTGATTGGTGTACAAGGACACCCGAGTCCCTCTGGACGCTAACACATTCCAATCTCTCCCCTTCTAAAAAATAATCCTCTCTACTGTTTTTGCTACCCAGGTGGATGACTTCGCACTTCCCTACATTATACCTCATCTGCCACCTACCTGCCCAATCACCTAACCTATCTATGTCTCACTGCATTTTTTTTAATGTCGTCCTCGAACACAGGTTCGATTCCCGGGCGGGACGAAACATTGGGCAAGTTTCCGTACTCCACACGCCTCTGTTTACCTAGCAGTAAGTAGGAACCCGGTTGTTAGTCGATTGGCGGATCAAAGGTAATAATTCCTTCATCGAAATCAAATCAATAATAAATCGGTCACTCAATCCACGACTGTTTGTGGGACGCTGCTGTGCGCAATTGGCTGTCGCGTTTCGCCCACAAAACATACAGCCGATTCACTTTACAGTGTATTTGGTGAAAGCGCTTTGAGACGTCTCGAAGACGTGATAAGGCGTTGTATCAAATGCAAGGATTATGATTATTATTAGATCCAGGTTGCTTAATCTCTTTTCCTTTCACCCTTCACCGCCAAAGCATCGATCTCACTCACTCCGCCTTAAACATCTCAATTGATTCTGCTTGAACAACCTTCTGGGGCAAAGCATTCCACGCACTCGCAAACCCTCTGTAGAAAGAACGGCTTTATGATCTCAGTTCTAACTGTCCTTTGCACGAGATTATTTGCATAAGAGCCTTTGAAACCACTTCAGATGGTAACAAACTTAAATATAAGAATGACATCGCCTCTGGATAAAAACTCTCTCACCACCTGCTGCTCTTATTTACATATTTCCATCAATCCCCTTGTTCCCTGGAGCTGCCGTTTCTCCGAGGATTCTGGACTGCAGTGGAGCAGGAAGAAAGCAACCAGGGAACAAATTGCTCACGGTTTGCTATAATGGGCTCCACCTTTTAATTGCATTACGATTTCACATCCAAATGGGCAGCAGAGGCTTGACATTTTTATTTTACTTTCAATTCCCCCATTTCTACCCAATAGCTCCGTCAGCCAGGACCAATAACAATAATAATAATCCTTGCATTTGATATAGGGCCTTATCATGTCTTCGAGACGTCTCAATCGCAGGATGTGCTGCAGCTCCTAGTGACACGGTGAGACATTCCCCGACTATACTCAACCCAGGCAAAAGATTTGATTTCAAAGAGACTTATTTAGAACTAAATCGACAGCACCAGTTTTAGATTATGAAGGATAATAGGTCCCTAGTGTGCGTGACCAGAGCCGTGCCTGCTCCTGAGTGACTAAAAGGAATTGTATACCTGCAGATAACTCCAGACATGTGGATTAACTCACTGCCACGACCGAAACAGCTGTTCCCACTTCCACGCGGCTTTTTTGGGTTAGCCGGGTGTCTGACACATACAGGAACCCAATCACCACGCTTATAAGTATCCAAACCAGAGTTCCACCCATCCGTGCCACCTAACCATGGATATGGCACTGAGGAGCAAGGGACTTGGCCTTTCTCCCAGACATTTCTGTTTGCCGACTTGCCTGAGAACACTGCGTGGAGAGACGTTTTTGCCCTGTGGTGAGCTCTCCATTCCCGACCACAATTTGCACTGAGCAAACCCGCTCACAACTCAACACCAAGACCAAGTGAGGGGCAGATCCTCAAATTCCTTCGTCCTCGTTGCGGGGAAAGACGCCTGCCTTCGGTTGCCTGCTAATCACGCAGCTTGGTCAGAGGTATTTTGCGTGTTGCGTGCAAAGAGGGTGAGCGCTCAAACTATTTGGGTTATTTGGGGATATCCCACAATCATCCGCAAAGATGAATGGCTGCCTGTGCGTAATTGGCTGCCGCGTTTCCCCCACAAAAGATACAGTCAATTCGCTTTACAGGAACCCAGGCGATAGCTCCTTCTCTTTATCGAACAGTGTCATGAGGTCTTAAACATCCACCTGAACAGGCGGACAAAATATCCATCAATGCACTGGAGTGGAGTGTTAGTCTGGAGTGGAAGCTCAAAGTTGCTGACGTGGATCCTAAACCACAACCTTCTGAGCAGATTTCTACCCAATGGTTTGGTCGAATAATAAAAAAAAACACACGCGAGTGGTTCTGAATCAGGTCCTCGCTCACGTTCTGCCTGTATTTCTGACGGAGCAGGCTATCTGCATCACAGCAAACATGAGCAAGGAGGGCAAATAAGACAGCGGCAAACACTGGAAGGATGCGAAGCACATCCACACAAGGTCACAGCGCGGAATTTCCACGGGGAGAAGATGTGGACTTCAGCAAACCCAGACCTCACTGCACCGTTTAGATGTTCCCACTTCACCGCAACTCATTTAGATTGAAACAGCGATCAGTACGCACTGCATCCCCACTGCATTCTCTCCCATGTACATTCCTTACAATCTGTACAATTATAAGGCCTGAAGGGTTGCGATGAATACCTGCCCAGCACTGGCTCTGGATCAGCTGTTAGCCCAGTTCAATGCCTGCCCGGCTAATGGAAAGGAGTTACTCTGGCTCTGCCCACAACATCACCAGAACTTCTCAATGCAGGCAGCCTACAGCAAGAGCACGGATATACAAATTATGTACAATATGACACCATGCAACCGCACACCAACTACATGTGGAGTCCTGTAGCTCAGTGGTTAGAGCACTCGCCTGGCAAGCGAGAGGACCTGTTTTCGATTCCCGGGCTGGGAGAAACCTTGGGCAAGTTTCCTTACTCCACCCCCATGCCTCTGCTTACCAGCAGTGAGTAGCAAATCTGGTTGTTAGTTGACTGGTAGATCGCTTTTCCGGGGGTGGGGGCGGGGTAATAATCCCTTCAAAATCAAAAGGGAGCCCTTTGAGACGTTCGTACTCCCTCCCTCCCTCTCTAAGTGATTTATTTTTTGCTCTGTGCTATTATTGTTATTAATATACCGTATTCTAATACTGGCATCAGAAAGACTCACTAAGGGAAAAGAAGACAAAATCCATTTAGCTTGATTTGAACTATTCTGCACTCGGTACTTTTCAAAGTAAGTGCAGCACCAACTCCGTTTATTAAAGGTTATTCTGCACAGCACAACACGGTGTTTTAATAGCAAATCCATCTCCTTAATGTCCAGAGTTGATTGGGATGTGCTTTGCAGCAGCTTCTGCGGAAGGATGATGGACTTAAGATGTCAGCGGAGGAGTAAGCAGAGAGAGGCAAATGTTCCCGATTTAGACAGTTATCACTTCAGGCTTCTGCATTCCTTCAGAAACTTAATAATCGCTCCATTTTGAACGCAGGAACCAAATGACGCTTTTTAAACATGTTGCAGCATTTAAAGTGGCAGGAGATTGCTACCTTCCCTCGGTTTTAACATGAATCAAACACCCTCCGTGCCACTTTCCAGATAAAAAGCAAAAGGCAGATGGAGCCAGCGCAGTGCCATTACAACAAGGGAAACCACGCGAACACTGATAGGGGCAAGAGCAGGAGATAAAGAGTCTGGCAACCATCCTCGAGACACAACAACAACTTGCATTCGTGTAGCGCCCTTCACACGTCCAGCAGCGCTTCACGGTTAGTGGAGTCCGACACTGAGCCGGTGGTGGGGGGGGGGGGGGTGTGGGAGGGTGCGCGGAAGGAAGAGGGGAGGTGATCGTAAGCACGAACAAAATCGTTGCATCATTTCCCTTCAGGGCTCCTCAGCGATTATGTTCATTCTCTCCCACTTTGGGGTTTGTTTTCGGGTCCAAGTGGGGAAGAGAGACAAGCACGTGGAACCCAGCCGACGCCGCAAACGCACTCGAAAGCAGAAATACGGTTGCCTCAGTCGCGGAACGGAAGCCGTAACATCTCCAACGGTCCCGTGCCTCCAGTGCGGGCAGCACAATAACTAGAATCTGTTCCCAACACTTCTTTCAACAATGAAAGGAACTCCATACTTGCAGCCAGCGCCCAATTATTTTACGCATTACATAATTTATTAGTATGAGACACGTAATTACAATGCCTAGGGCTAGAACTTCTACACACACTACAAAGATGGCTACAAAGACCGGAGATGCATTTTAATAGGACAAACCCACAGAGCACAGCATAATCTCTAGAAGTCACTGGAGATGGATGGCTCAGAAGTTCCTGGCAAGTAGTGAAAGGTTCATACACCACGTCAAGCAATTCTTTTATTCCTAATCATGTGAAATGATGCAATATTTATACAGAAACAGAATCCCTGGTACCAATCTGCTTCCCCACCCTTTATTTTAGAGCAATTATATTCGCTATTCAAATTCCTCCCATTTAAGTTTTCTCTTCCCCACTGCCACAGACATCTGTGGACACTTGGCATTAGTTGGTTCTCTAAAGGAACTGTAACTTTCTTGCCACCAATTGCTCTGCGGAGGTAACCCAGGAAGATTTAGCAAGGTTCAAAGTCTAATTAAGATACCGTCTACTCTGACAACTAATTTGGGAAGGTATATTAAATGCCATACGCGTCACACAAGCTGCAAGTGAATCCTGAAGGAGATGTGCATCTTTAAGTCGTTACTTTACTCGCAAGAAATGGAAGAACATAAGCAGTCACTCGCTAGTGTGTGTGTGTGTGTGTGTGTGTGCTCGTTTAGCGTACGGAGTGCACCCAAACGCACAACCAGAGTGCACTCGGCTCTCGACAACTGAGCAAGTCACACAGCATCCTCACTCACCGCCTGACTCTCTCATTAACCAGAGGAGGCAACCTGAGAAGGCGTGAAATCACAATCACCGCTAAATTAACATGCACAAAGAGATAAGACTAATGAATAATCATTGAAATTACTGGAAAAAACAAATTCCCCTAATTTGCTGAAACGCACGTTGATGCCGGACCCCAATCCAGGATTTAAAGCAGCTCGAATCGGTCAGCGGGAGTACAGACCCCGGTCACCAAGCAAATAATAATTCCTTAAAAGAAAATAATAAATTGGTCACTTCAATCCACGGCTGTTCGTGGGGGACGCTGCTGTCCGCAACTGGCTGCCGACTCGCGCCCGCAAAATATACAGTCAATTCACTTTACGGTGTATCCCGTGAAGCGCTTTGAGACGTCTCGAAGACGCGATCGGGCGCTGTATCGAAAGCAGGAGTTTATTGTTATATTCTAATCGGTGCCAGGAACAGCCGTGCGCACGGAAGATTGTTATCGCAGCGTCACAAGCCTCACCTGGAGCAGCCGATCACGCTGAGCGTTGGCAGCTTCCATCAAAGCATTTGTGGAATCAAGAAACCTCAAGCATGACAAGATTGTGATTTAATGAAGACTAGAGCTGTTGGCCTGCTGAGCTTTCATTTCATCCTGAAATCAATGGATGTTCTGTACAGTATCTTCTGGGGCTCTGCTCGACAAAAAAAAAAAAACCGAGGTAGGCGCAGGGCAGAAGACACCAATTATATTCCACACAGTGTGGGACTCCAGGGCGCGGGGTGAACCCAGTATTTGTGTTTGTTAGGGGCTAATCAGGAAGGCGATTAATGGAGGCCACTCTAAATAGCGCAGCAGTGCACTTGTTGGCTCACAGCCTCACGTCTCTTGAGGGGGTTACGAGACGAAAAAACTTCTGAGATCCAGTTAATCCACCGCCATCTTTCTGATCAACGTGTGATGCGAACACAATCTGCTCGTTTCAGGTGGGAGTTGAAAGTTCCCGTGACATCAGTCGAAAGGGGAAAAAAAAAAGGAGAGAGAGGAGTTTCTGATATCCTGGCCGCAAATCCTCCAGATTAATTGGTCTTTTAGCTCACAGCTGTTCAATGTGTGGGATGCTCCCACCACCCCCCACCCCATTCACAGTCACTACACTCGACGGAAACTTCAGTGAAGGTGCTTTGAGACGTTCAGCGTGATAAGACGCTGTATCAAGAGAAATGCTAAAGGTCTCTCTCTCTCCGTAATTGTTCGGCCGGCAATCGGGAAGAGAATTTCTGGAATTCAAAACTGGTAATGTGACTTTACCAGAAGATGGCGACACAGCAGAACACAAGTCGGCTCGAAACCCAACGCAGACGGGAACCTGAAGACGCCAAGGTTTAGCCGATTAACCCGTTTAAAATAGTGCCATCGTCTCAAAGCACCTCCCAGGTAACTGCTGCCAAGTGTAGTGACGTTGTGCTTTGTGCAACCGATTTGTGCACAGCGGGTTTAAGAGGAAGAGCGGGCGGAAACCTAACACATCTGCCAATAATTACATGTGGGTTATTTCAGAAAATAATACTTGTAATCGACACACGCGGCACCTTAAGTGAAACAAGGCCACAGCAATTGGAACTCACGAAAACCCCACGTTTACAGTCAATATAAAGAAAAGTCCGCTTCGTTTAACGTCGAGCGTCCTTTCTAGCTTGGCCTCCTGCTCCATTTGCTCAACCGACTTACAGTAACCAGCACCGTGGCTATTTACTGACGAAAGTAAGGTGCGGGGGATAAGACCAGGCCAGAGGGGCAAAGAGGAACACCTCAAGCAGCAAAACCAAACAATCACAAGAACAAACAGCAATTATGACATCTGCATTTTACCAACGTTTATAACAGCGTCTTATTGTTCAGTAATCTGGTTGAGGAAATACGTTTGAGACAATCTGTCCATTTGCAGCATCGATTTACAACATGGCCTTTTCCTTCCCATCAACAGTCTTGACAAAGCATCAGTGTATTTCTGGATTTGACCCCATGATGTGCCAGCTACTCTTTCTCCAGGTATGTCTACTGACGGGTTCGAAGATTTGTCTTAGATTTTGTGCAGGTAATACAACAACAACAACAACAAGATTACATTTATAAAGCGCCTTTCACGTCAGGAGGACGTCCCAAGGCGCTGCACAATTGAAATCTGTTGAAATATCTGCCGGACGCTGGTGTGCGCAATTGGCTGCCGCGTTTCGCCCACAAAATAACTTTACAGACCATTTTCTTTACAGCGTATTCTGTGACGCGCTTTGAGATGTCTCGAAGACGTGATGAGACGCTGTATCAAATGCAAGGATTACTTATTATTATTTCTTTATCTACGTTTGTAGCAGGAGCATCAAGAAACCAGGGAAAGCTCATTTTTGTGACCCAATGTCATACCCTTTTTGTTGTCACCCAAGTCATTTCGCTGTAAACACAGTTGATTCTCAAGCCTCAGTAACACTTCCCCCCACCATCATACAAGAGACAGCAGCAGCGACTTGGGAAGTCAAAGGCACTCACCGAAGACTCCACTTGGCTCCGGTCTGCGATGTCGATATAAACCACTTCCACATTTTTCCAGGTCTCTGGGTCCAGTTCATGCACCTGAAAAATACAACTGGGTGAGTAGCAGCAACACAACTGGATGGAAACAATACACATACAACTACACCCACCTCAATCAGAGGCAAATTACCCCTTACAGCATAAGTTTCACCCCCAAAATATACAGCCAATTCACTTCACAGTATATTCTGTGAAGCGCTTTGAGATGTCTAGAAGATGTGATAAGGCCCTATATCAAATGCACGGATTATTATTATGATTATTATTATTAGTATCCCTTGACCTGATGGAAAAGGGGAGTTTCCCCTAGTGATTATTGTCTGCCAACAATCCCCCAGATACCCTGGTCATTCGCTTCATGTTCGGTGTTTGTGGACTTTGCTGTCTACATTTGCCTACACATTCACAGTGGCTCCGCTTAACAGCATTTCCTTCTGAAGTGCTTGGGAGACATTTTGAGATGTATAGGCGCCATAATCGAATCAAACTGAACAATAGTGATAATAACGCAAAGAACATTTGCTTCCGAGCCAGCACACTTCCCTCGTGCATCATCTCAGCCCAACGTACGCTGTGGACGGCAGTGTCAATGGGAACTGCACCCTCCAGTATCCATTGTGCTCCACCCAAAGCGTGTTCACACCACCCTCCTGCCCTTCCCTAGTGTACAAAATGTCTGCGCCTATAGATCAGGAGCTGTAATGAGTGGCCCAGGATTTATGCCTCAGAGCAGGGAGTTAACTGGCGATTTGTTTGGGCATTTAAAATGATGAAAGGAATCAACAGGTTAGACAGGAGATGTTTGTTTCCCCCCTGGTAGAGTGATCCATTATATAAGGGGCAGACCCTTCAAATCAGAACCAGGACAGTTAGAACCGAATCTGGAAGCATTTGTTTCACGCGGAGGGTTCTGAACATGTGGAATGCTTTACCCTGAGACAAAGAAAAGTCCAGCCAACATTTTCTTTTTTTTTTGAAAACCAACCCCAACTTGAGACAAAAGCCGAACTGCAGAGTCTCCTAACATTCTCCGCAACCTACAGACGTCGATCAAGCGTGGCATGTGCCAGCCACCGTGCTACCAGTGTGGTCAGATACCCACCAGGGTATAATAATCATCCTCGCAAATGATATAGCAACCTCATCACATCGTCAAGATGTCTCAAAGCGCTTCACAAGTTTTTACTGCAAAATATTGCGACTCTGCATTTGTGGGCGAATGCGAGGGCCAGTTTGTGTGCAGTAGTGAATATCATTTTTATTTGTGGGATTGGCGGCCAGCACACCAGAAGAAACTCCGTTCTCTTTTGAATAGGATCCCATGGGATCTTTAACATCCACCTGAACAGGCAGACGGGACTTCGGTTTAACATCTCATCCAAAGAACAGCACTTCCGCCAACACATCACTCTCCCAGCACTGCCTGAAACATCAGCCGAGCTGAAACACAGCTGGACTGTGTCTTCAAAGTCCCGATGTGGGATTTGAACCCACAATCTTCTGACTTTAGAGGCGAGAGTGTTACCAACTGAGTCAGGCAACGGCATAGTGACTGTGTGTGTGCGTGTGTGTCACGGGGAGGTATATTGACTGTATGTGTGTGTGTGTCATTACACAGTGCAGTTACAGTCTCTACGCAGTACATTTACAAGGTATACTGCGATTCGGTGCCTTGACAGATGCTAACTTGCATTCACTCATTTATTTGCTAGAGGTTCAGAGATTAAAAGAGTGATTTACGCTTTAATTAGGTTCTCGATTCTGCGAACTAAAGATTAACCCTTTTACGCATCCACAGTCTCCAATTACTGAACCCGGAATTTGTGGCCCTCTAAAAATACCTGCTTAATTCATTTGAAACAGCAGGGCCTAAGCTGGCTAAACTGTGCCACAGACAGGCAGTGACGTTTAAAATAGCAGTACTTCTGCTGTGTCACCTTAACATAAGGAATCAACCCACAGCACAGTAAATGCATGTCGTTACCCACGTGGACTAAATGTCAGCCAATGCCTAGTAATGGACAGAAATCTACACAGTAAACTACCCTCATGTTAGACAATACTGAGGTCAGGCGCAGGTCTGTAAGTCGTAATCTTTAGCAATCCATCCACCAGTCCCCCTCCCTACAAAGAGTACAAGCTTCGAGAGCAGAAGATGCCTCGCTATTGGCAAGTTTGTCTACAAATCCACAGTCACTGTACTCGACAGTAAAATCCTGTGAAGCAACCTGAGATGTTTCAAATGCAAGGATTACTGTATTATAAGTCAAATCCTTTGTGTAACTTTCTTGTAAAAGACCTTTAATATTAAGAGGGCTGCTTTAAAAGTTGGCAAAGTGCCAACCTACCATAGAATGTAAAAGTCAATCAAACCAGGTTATCTGGATAATTGGCAGGTCATTATGAGAAATTCTACAGCCCATTATGCCCAGCATTATTTCTTCATGGCCTATCTCTTTGAAACCTCCATTGGGAATAGTACTTACATTCTCTGTAGTCCCCAAGTCTGGCTTGTGCCATGTCTCAATTTTAATCAAGAAATTGTCCTTCATGTACTCATTCTGCATTGGAGACAAAAAAAAGTACAAGACATTTTGAAATACAAGATATCCTTAAGCTTGATATAAATCACTAAATGACACAGCTGTAACATACACAGATGCCCAGGCATAGATGCTGTAAAAGTACATGGATGCCACAAGCTCTATACTTTGCCCCATTTATTCCACAGCCCTTGATATGTTCAGCTGATTCTCAATGCTCATTTTGAAGCATTCAGATACAAATCCAATCTGGCTGCTCTGCCAAACCCTGCAGATTCACAGCTTTACAAATAATTAGTATTAAGTTGATAACGAATGCTTGCCAACTCAACAGGAGTTGCATCACATCAGAGGTCACGGCTTCTTGGTTAGTTGCGCGAATATTTCAGAACCTTTGCTTATTTTAAAGCCATTTGCAGTGAAAACATTCCTAAGCCATATCACGCAACAGGGCAATTAGCGTTCACACTGGAACCATACCACAAAAGGAATAGAGTATAGTGCAACCACCAAACATTAACTCCAGTAAATACACCAGTTATAACCTACTTACAATCAGCACCACAAAATAGCACTGTGAAAGGCACCGTCCAGATGTTCTGTATTTAACATCTAACAAGTATTTACTTCCAGTTGCTATAGAACGCAGATCAATTTTCTACATTTACCCATCTGTGACTAACTGACCAACCCTCCACTCAAAACAAAAGGCTAGAGAACTATCGAGTGATGGGCAATCCCTAGGTTCAAGGTCTAGTGCCAGCTGAAAATACAGGAGAAAAAAATACCCATACTTTTCTCCATTAGAAGACAATTGGCTTCATACAACTGCTGTGTGGCACAAACTCATGCTGGCTTTTGTACATTGGATCCTGCAGCAGGGAGTGTGATGCTGAACTGGAGGTGCTTTAACCTCTACCCTCTTGTCGTTTAGGTTTAGCTTGTGTCATTTGGGGAAGATAGAAGGCTGTTCTTGGGTACAATGGAGGCAAGCTTGACTTTGCAGGCGATCTTGCAATGTAAGAGCGGATGAACACCAAGTGCAGCTTTCCAACATGCCGAGGGACGTTGGTAAGAGTCAGGTCGGAGGATCAGTAACAGTGACCAACAGCACAAGATTTCATTAGCCATAAAATCGGTCACGGAACAAACCAAGCCAGAATGTTTCAAAGCTCAGCTGCAGCAAATCAGCTTCTCTTCCAGCTTCCCAGGGAAGTGCACCGAAATGAGATGGGAGAGTGGCCCCAGGCTCCCCGAGTGCCTCCCAAGAGAGGACCCGAGTGGCACTGACAGGTTCGGGGAGAGTTGAGTCTGCTCGGACAGATTTTTCCAATATTTAGGTTTGATGGGTTCCACATGGCTGCTCGTGGGTCACGGGGCAATGCCAGCTCACACATGACTGGATCTGTGTGCAATTGGCTGCTACGTTTTGCCCACAAAATATACAGTCAATACAACTTACATATATATGTATATGCTGTGAAGCGCTTTGAGACTGATGAGGCACTATATCGAATGCAAGGATTATTATTATTATTATTATTTTACAATCTCTTCCCATGGCAAGCTCTGCCTAGGTTATCAGCTCTGCACGATCAGGAAACTCCTGCCTTTCCACTCCTTGGCTCATCGTAAAGCCCCAACAACGCCTTTAAATACTTGTGGGACGCCTCGATACTCTGCAAAATGCATTGAACCCAAAGTCAAACAGGGACTGGTTCAGTGAAAAGAATTCGGGGGATTAAGAATCATCGAAGAAATGGTTCATTCATTTGAGCCTTCTACAGTGCTGCAAAATTATACACAGCAGAGCTGGCTGAGGATGCACAATGAATATTAGTAACCACGAAAGCATTAGTCAGATTTAGAATCAATAGCAAATTAAAATAAACTCGGTCATTTCATCTACTCACCGTAACAACTGGGGTAAATGGAATGAGCATGCAAAAGAAAAAAAAGACACACAAAATATTTAGTAAACCTCCACACAAAACCAAACCAACCATTAGAATCTTTGTACATTATTTCGACAGCTTGCAGCTATTTGTTATAAGTAGTTTTGAGAGTAACCAGAGTGCAGCAATATGTTCAGATGGCAATAGCTGTGTGTTCTACAGCCACTCCAAGTCTGCTGTACCCAACGGGTAAGCAGCTGTACGGCTTTGACAGTGGGATTAAGCGCTCTGGGACGCTATCGTGTGTGAAGGGGCCTTATGTAAACACAAGTTGTTGTCGAATTGAAAACACCCTTTCAAACGTAAGCGCCAGCCATTCCCACATAAGCTGCTACGCTACATGTAAAGCTCTGACCTCTTCTATACTGTCCCAGCAATGAACTTTATTGGTCCTCAACCTCAGGAGCACTTACTGCAATATTAACGCAGTCACTAGACATTACAGTAAAACCCGCGAAGCACTTGGAGACATCCTTCCAACATAAAAGGTGTTGCAGGGAACTGGACACTGGGAGAAACTCCCTTTCCTTTTCAATCTTTAACGTCCACCTGAACAGAAGGGAAAGATGCTGGAAGCCGAGGGCTGGATTATGAAGGGATGGGATGATGTGTAGATGTGGGGCAGCCGTTGGTATTCAGCAGCAAATAGTACTAATTTACACCAAAACACACCAGAAGTGTGCAACGTCATCAGCCAGTCACTGAAATCCTATCATTGTGGTAACAACCTGGATACCCAGCACTTTGAGATAAACTATCTTACACTGATAAACACCATGAGCAACAAGCAGTAACACAGCGATTAAATACTAGTATTGTTTTACACACAAAGTAAGCTGAACTGTGAACTTACTTGTTCTGCAGTAGGGGTATGCATTCCAAGCTTCCTCATAGAACAATAAGGAATGTTTTGGTGCAACCATTCGCAACATGCGTGGAATTTTACTGTGGGAACAAACGGTTCATAACTTACCAAAAGTGAGATGCAAAGAAACTGAAAATATCTTAGCAGAAAGAAGAGCCCCAAAATAAACCCTCTCTCTAGCCCCGTGTACACCTCAGTCAACAGTCAACAGTGCACGTGATCTGAAGGAGTGGACAAGAAACAAGTCACATTTACGCAGCATCTTTCACGTCGGGAGGACGTCCCAAGTTGCTGGACAGTCAGGGATTTAGCCCCGAGCTGAGGGTCGGGATCAGGAGGGGTATAGAGGGAAGACCCTACCCAGTGTGAGTACATAAATGCAAGTTGCTGTTTGTGGGACGTTGCTGTGCGCAATTGTACTGCTGCATTTGCTTACAAATAGTGTCATTTTATTTTGTGGTAAATTCTGTGAAGTGATTCGAGATGTCTTTCCGAAGTGATAAGGCGCTACATCAAGTAACAGGAACATTATTATTGTACGTTGATGCCACATCATTTTGGACTCACCAACAAAGTGGAAACAGCCTGCTGACGTGCATCGTGTTGAATCTTTTCTCGTTACGACGTGATGTGGACTAACCGAGATGTTACGTAAGTTTAACACTACAAAGCGAGCGCCTATTCCTCTGGACAAAAAACATTGAGGGAGACAAAACTCTTGAAATTGGTTACATGATTTAAAGTTTGCGTCTACGTGAATCTCTCATTGTTTATGATGTGGTGATGGGAAAAAAAAGGGTCTGGGGATTCTGGAAAGATGGATCAAATGGGCCAAAAAGGCTTCTTTCTTCATTAAAACCTCTCTTGTAATCATGTGATATCTCCCCCTGGTTACCGTCCCGCCAAAGCTGGATTTAGAATTTGACTCAACTTGACTGAAGTCCAGACATTCCAAGTCAGTCCCAGCAGAATCCGACGCTAGGAATAGTTTTGTTGGGCCCCGGCCAACGATAATGACTCAGTTTCAAAACCGGCAACTTTATTCAGGAGAGCGAGACCCATTTCAAACAAAGTGGTCGACTCCACAGCCAGTCGTCAGCTCCGAATGCCGGCGATGGGGCACCTCCATCTCACGGCATTCACGCTGCCATTAATTGGCCACCTTGAAGCTTACTCGGGGCGCCTGGTTCCAGAGGAGAATGTGGCAATGTGGTTAGAGAGGTGGTCGAAAGATAGGAAGCAGAAAGTGGGACTGAAATGGATGTTTTTTTCAGTTGGTAGAAATTTAGAGATGTGCCACAAGGGGTTTGTGATGGGACCTCTCCTTTTTTCAAATATATATTAATGACTGCAACTTAGATTCATGGAGTAAGAAGACAAAGTTTGCAAATGATACCAAGCTAGGCAGTGTAGCGAATAGTAAAAAGGGCAAGAGACTATATGAGTAATTTAGATTAATGCAATGGGCAGATCAGTGGCAGATGAAGTTCAATGAAGCAAAATGTGAGGGGATTTATTTCTGCAGAAGATATGAGGGAAAAGGATATATATTCAATGGTAGTATCTTGCAAGGATTGGACAAAGTAAATAGGAAGAAGCTATTTCCACCAAAAGAGGAAGCAGTGACTGAGGACCATAGTCATAAGATGATCACGAGAAGAGTGAAAGGAGAGTTTAAGAGAATGTTTCTCACTCAGGGTTGTTGGGACATGGAATACCCTATCAAGTAAAATGGTGACAGATTTCAAGAGGGAAATAGGCAAGTATAGGATAGATAGAGGCTTAATGTGGAAATAAGGCAGGGCAATGCGATGGAATGGACTTGATAAAATAATAATAATCCTTGCATTTGATAAAGCGCCTTATGACATCTTTGAGACTTCTCGAATGCCCTTCCTCTACACTGTAAAGTTGTATGATTGTACTCCTGGTATGTAAAAACATGTCTATAAGGGAGTATATTGAAAACCTGATCAGTGTTAAGTAGAACTAATCAATGCTCAGTGGAGCATTAGTGTAGAACAACCTCTAAATTGCGAAGACCATATCAATGTTTTGTCTACACTCCCCACGTATTGCTGAAGGCATTATATTACATTCCTCACAGGTACGGCAGGATGTCCACAAATAAAGGTTCAAATCCACATGTAATCCAGCCAAAGCTACCCAGGAGCAACCGAACAAGCTCCAAACTGGGATAAGTTTAAAACTTGGTCATTAGAAGTTTATTCGGGATCTGGAATGCCGCCCTTTCATCTAATTGGACAAACTCAAAACCCAGAAGAGTATCTTGTAAGAGCCCTGCAAAAGGGTAGTTGTAGCAGTTTAATTCTAATTCGTGGTGAACAACAACAGCAACTTGCATTTATATAATACCCTTCATGCCGGGCGGCAGCTTGGAAGGCTTAACAGTGGCGGAGCCCGATGCCAAGCCAGGGGGAGGGGGAAGGTGACCGTTGGCACGGTCGAAGAGGAAGGTCTTCGAGTGCGACATGAAAATGATGAGAGAGGGGGCAAGGCAAAGGGGTTGAGGGAGAGAGTTCCACAGCATCAGGCACAGAGCACAAAACTGCTCTAACTGGATGCAGTATAATACTCTGAGGTCAGAGAATGCCAGGAGGGAGGGGAAATGGGACAACGATGCTTGAATAGTGTGGAGTCTAAAATTGTTGGGGTACAGAGCGCGCCTCTACTTTCTACCCCAGCGACTGAATCAAAATTGCATTAAAATAGGGCGGGAAATGAAATATATTCAGAGAGCAACGAATATCCTGTTACATTAGGCCCCAATCCCTTTCCCCACACACCGTGTCTGGTTCCACAAAAGTGAGCGTTTAACTCGCATTCCTCAATAGCAGTAATGTCGATGTGCTTTGTGTGACTAATAGAAAGCAGGTCCATCAGAAGGTTGATTACAAAAGGTTTTCCCTTGATCAGTACGTATGAACCCGGGCTTCAATCAGAAGCAGAATAAAACTAAACCAGATGCTTTGGGACTCTTATTTCTGAACTGCAAAGCAAAACAGCTCCAATATTTAGCTTCAAAGTAGCTGTAGTATTCTTTCCAGGTTCTGTGTGTTGCGCGAAGCCTTTTCTCAAGTAGACGAAGCTGAACTTATAAAACACAGCGATTTCTTTTTTCTGTGTCAGGCTACAGCACAACATAGTGAAGTAGTTTAGGCTCCACCGTACATGACCCAGGGCTAAGGAATTCATGAATATTTTAACAAAAGGCAAAGAGACATAACTTCCAAGCTCCAGACTTGGTATAATCAGGGTCCACCCTCGCTCCCCCTGTGGCTCTTTCCTTCCTGTGAAACTACAGGTTAATTTTGTCTGGGGTTCACAAAGCATTCATTTTTTGAACAGCGTTTAAAAAAAAAGCCATCCTTCAACCTCAAACACATACGAAGCAAACGATTTTGCCTGACCAAGTAACCCTTGCTTTTGATGTAGCGCCTCGTCACGTCTTCGAGACGTCTCAAAGCGCTTCACAGAATATACTGTAAAGTGAATCGACTGTGTATTTTGTGGGCAAAACTGCAGTGTACAGGTAGGTCAATGGGCCTTTGAGGAATAGGTTGCTCAGCCCTGGGTTAGAAAGCTCGAACAGAAAAACCTATGGCTCGCTGGAGCTACAGCTATGATACTTTGCGGAGTTTGTAAAAAGTGCTTTCTTTGGCCAACCTTTTGGATTTCATTGCAATAGTGAGCTGGGTAAGTAGGTACACATCGAGTGCAGTACCACAGCACAGCTTTAACCTTTAGACCACTGACCACCACAGGAAATTCCATTCTCCAGGAGGCAGAATTCGGTTCACATGCTGTTGCTGAAACAAACTCGGCATTACAGCGTAAAGCTACTCAAATGTCAGGAGCACAATTCTTCACAGTAAACCTTGTAATATTAAAGATTTCACTTCTGCTCACCCAGCTCTTGCTTCCCCTACTCAATTTTAACTACAGTCACAATGTGTTCTTCAATTTACATGCAAGTCCATCTTAAACTGGGTCTCGCAGCATAAAAAGGCCTCCCATTTCCTTCAGTTATATAATAAAATTGGTCACTTCAATCCACGGCTGTTTGTTAGTTATTAGTTCCCAGTTTTAAGCGAGCGACATGTCAAACAAACCAAGTCAACTTCTGATGCTGCTTTGGAACAGCTCCACGAGGCTGGGTCGAGAGTATATTCACACTTGTTACTCCTCTGTCACTTGAATAGCTCATATTTCTCCATATCCCTGGAGTCCTGTAGCTCAGTGGTTAGAGCACTCGCTTTGCAAGCGAGACCCCTGGGCTCAATTCCAGGCAGAGAGCGAAACCTTGGGCAAGTTTCCTTACTCCACACGCCTGATAATAATCCCTCCAAAACAAAAAACAATAATAAATTGGTCATTTTCAATCTACAACTGTTTGTAGGACAATGCTGTGCGCAATTGGCTGCCGCGTTCGCCCACAAATATACAGTCAATTCACTTTACAGTATATTCTGTGAAGCGCTTTGGGACGTCTAGAAGACGTGAAAAGCGCTATATCAAATGCAAGGATTATTATTATTTTATTATTATCCCATTACGTTCTAAGTGTCGGTCTAACTAAATAATAATCCTTGCATTTGATACAGCGCCTTACCAAGTCTTCGAGACGTCTCAAAGCGCTTCACAGGATATACTGCAAAGCGAATTGACTGTATATTTTGTAGGTGAAACGCAGCAGCCAATTGTCTCAATCCACAGTCGTGGATTGAGTGAACAAAATATATATTTTTTTTTGGAAGAGATTATTAACCCCGGAAAAGTGATCCGCTAATCGACTAACTAACTCCTGCTCACTGCTCATCCATTTCCCTCCTAATATCCCTCAGTTAAATCTGCAGCAAATGTTTTCTGAATTCCTTTCCAGTTATCATCGTTCTAATTTCATGACGATGGGATGTGGCTTCCCCATTCGCTTATGACAGGGAATCGCCATTCACAATCGATCAGGTCGATTCACTGGTTCAATTGTTAGACTGCTGGGTGAGTCACCTGGTCCATAACCAACAGTTCCTAGAATAAAAACTTATCCGCAGGAGTAAACTGAGTTGACATGTATTGCAAACCAGACAGAGTTCCACGTGTATATGCCATGTACACAGGGAAATCTACCCATGTCTGGAAATGTAATTTGCACTCTCTCCTTGAAAGGAGTCTGTTTATACCTAACTCCAGAGAATACGAGGAAAAGCTTGGCAAGGACCAAGGCTTGGGGGGTCCCAAAGGGTGGGTTGGGGACCTTACTGGAGCATAACCAGCTACAATAGTACAGAACCCATTGAAAGAACTATCTTTCCCATTGCTTGTCCAGCTTGGACAACCCAACACACAAGCGCCTCCAGGGGACCACCCCCACCCCCTCCCACACCCCCACCCCACCTCCTTTCCTGCTTCCCCCCCACTCTCCCCCCATCCCTGACCGGGAGCTTAGCCGCTGATACCAATCGCAAGTAGAATTTCTTTTTATATTACGTCAACAATTGACCTTTGCGAGCCTCGCCTTGGGTTCCCTGCGCCTAAACATTCCCTCTTGAACAGCAATAGATTTCCAAGAGAGAAAACGTGAAACAAAAAACAGAACATCGCATTCTCTGGCCCTAATGGGCTATGTGGGCTTTATATCGCAGCTCACTTCCTGAGGGAGAGAAGTACGTACACGTAAAACTTCCTGGAGGGGTAAACTTGATATCTCCCAATGGGGAAATCAAGTGAATCCAGGATAAGTGTAGTATTACAATGCCCTGAGTAACCGCAACTCCAGAAATGTATATGGTCACGGTGTACGGAGTACAGAGGTTCTGTGACCCAGCATTTAACGCTGAGAATTTAAACTTAAGCTTAACATTGAATCCGTTGGCCTGGAAGTCTTACTCACCGTGTAGAGAGAGCATTGCTCTGCAACCTGAGACGCTACCCTGCATGGCGGGCGCTATATAAGTGCAAGTTGTTGTTGTATTACAACCTTGTCTCTTCTCGCACGTGCTGTACTTAAGATTGCAAGGCTACACCTCACCTCCAATAAAAGCCTGAGAAGAATAGAGACTTTCCTCATCTCGCTCCCACGATGAATATCTCTTAACTGGTCCTAGAATCATCCAGGCCACCAACCCCCCCACTCCAAACAACAAATAAATAACCCATGACGTTTGCCCAGCGCCTTTCACATCCGGAGGACATCACAGGCCGCTTGAAGACCTTTTCTTTTTTTTTAAAATCGTTTTTATGATTAAAAATGCCATAACATCACAGCAGCACAGAGAGAATTGTGAGTTGTGAAACGACGTACCTTTGTAGGTGGTAGATTTTGTGGGTGTATTGCCCCTTCTCCCCATTTTCCTCATAGGGTTCGTTTCTTAACACTTCAATTCCTTCACCTCCGCCGGTCTCATTCTTGCTGGCTTCTGCAACAGAATATAGCTGGCCCACATGATACTGGAAAAGAAGAGTGAAATCACACATAGGATACAGCATTTCCACTTTCCAACACAAATCGGAGCACCCAGCCCAGAGCCGCCAGCGCCATACAACACAGACGTACATTTATATAGGATCTTTCACGTCGGGAGGACATCCAAGGTGCTTAACCTTCCAGGCAGGGCGAAACCTTGGGCAAGTTTCCTTACTCCACACAGAGCCTAATAATAATCCCTCCAAAAACCCAAAACAATAATAAATTGGTCATTTTCAATCTACGACTGTTTGTGGGACATTGCTGTGCGCAATTGGCTGCCGCGTTCGCCCACAAATATACAGTCAATTCACTTTACAGTGTATTCTGTGAAGCGCTTTGGGACGTCCTCCCGACGTGAAAAGCGCTATATCAAATGCAAGGATTATTATTATTATTATTATTATTAACAATACTGGCTCGTCATCTGAGCTGGGGGCGTGGGAGCCAAGGGGGGTAAGTGAGGGGTTGATGACCGAAAGTGTGGACCCAAGAGATAGGTCTCGAGATGCACCTTGGACAAAGGGAGGGAAGGATGGATCTGGTCTAGAGTTACAACAACAGCAACTTGCATTCATATAATACGCTCCTCGCGCAGGGTAGAGTTACAAAGAGTAATATAGCTGTAAATCAGGTCACTTGGCCCGAACAGTCCACGCTGGTAATAGGGAGAGAGCCGGGAAATGGGATGAACGAGAAATAGGCAGCAGCGGCAAAAGCACAACGGACTAAATATCCCCGAGGTCTGTGCGGAACGGTTCAATTTCTATACCACAAAGACTGACACTCCAATACTGTGCCGGGGAGAGCTGCATTATTGGAGGGCACCGCTATAAACGTTTCTCTTTCCAGTTCGACTGGCGCTGTGGGATCTTTTACGTCCGTCCACCCGAGCAGGCAAACAGGACCTCGGCCTCATCTCATAACACAACCATCTCCTGGCAGCTCACCGGACCGCCAGTCTCAAAATTTCCATCCCGTGTAAATGTGATCTAAACCGTCGCGTCTCGCAGTTCGACGGCCCTCCCCTTGGAGAATCGTCAGGTTGCGAAATATGCTTCGGAAACGATCCCCGCCCCAGAGTGTAGAATCTCCGACGTAAAGCAACGTGATCTTGCCTGAACCAGGGTTCTGGCATGTCACACAAATCAGCTGTAACAAATTCAGCATGTGTAACAGTAACTGCTAAACAATAACACAGTCTGATGTCAAGACAAAAGACAACTGTTTCAGAGAAGTAGGGCACCAACCAGTTAAGCTCGACTAAATGTCATCAATTTATTTTGCTGTCCAACAATGGGACTTTGTTCCCTCCACAGCCAGCAATCTCATTCCATTTCCCCCTTGCTTAGCTTGCGCAACCATAAGCTTGTGCAACAATATCCTGTTGCATGTGATTCAACGGCAGCGATGATATAATTAGTGCTTGTGCAGTTCGGAGAGAAAGGTCCACTAAAATATTTGCAGAGTCTGCTCCTTGGTATTCCAGCTAAATGCGTAGACAAGACATAACCACTGCAGGTTCCTATTGAGATAAGTGCAACAGCCCCTCCAACCAATCTCTTGTGCTCCTTCACACCCCCGTTGATTTCTTCACACTGCACTTTTGCTCCCCAGACAACAACAGTTTGCATCAGGCACTATAACTACATCAGATCACGACCTGGTTCCTGGGAAAGGTGCAGAGTGGAGCCGGCGGAGTCCTGGGAGCCTTTCCTCGACAATCACTGGCAACAGGTTGTTGGTCAAATGTGCAGTCGGGACGGGGTGCGGGGGGAGGGAGGAAAGAAAAGCAACGAGAGGATTGACAGGATGAGCAATAACAGATAATTGCCGCAAAGAAATTCTGAAGATATTGGCTGAGAATGGCAGAAAGCATCCTTGATCAGAATATCTGCACAACAGGGGTGCACTGAGGTTCAGAATGCATGGTTTGGTTTTAACAATCAAGGCATTATTGTGTTTGAAGCCTCTCTCTCTGGGGCTTGCCTCGCCGCAGGAACTGACAGATCCAGTGCAGGGAAGAACAAGAGCAGCGTGATTGAGTTTAATGGGTGTGGGAGAAAGTCGGCTTCTTTATAATAGGCCAGGAGCTGATCAGAAAGCATTTCTTACTCCACACGCCTAATAATAATCCCTCCAAAACCAAAAACAATAATAAATTGGTCATTTTCAATCTACGACTGTTTGTGGGACATTGCTGTGCGCAATTGGCTGCCGCGTTCGCCCACAAATATACAGTCAATTCACTTTACAGTGTGTTCTGTGAAGCGCTTTGGGACGTCCTCCCGACGTGAAAAGCGCTATATCAAATGCAAGGATTATTATTATTATTATTATTATTTGGCTGCCGTGTTTTGCCCACAAACTTCACAGTCAATTCACTTTACGGCATATCCCGTGAAGCGCTTTGAGACGTCTTGAAGACGTGATAAGGCGCTGTATCAGATGCAAGGATTATTATTATTATTATTATTATTATTACTACCACCATGCCCTACGCAGTCATGTTGAATCTTGGCAACACCAGACTAGGCTCTCAGGCCTGTCAAAGCAGCCACTTGATGAGAATTCTCTCATTTGACACACTGCCTTATGTCGAGAAAGTTGTAAAGTGCTCCAGAATTTTTCTGTAGAGGGCAGAGACTTGCATGTATATGCGTAGAGACTGAATACTTTAGGCGAATCTGAATTTGCCCGCATCAATGAACCAGAAACAGCAAGGAAATGAATAATCAGTCTTTTAAAAAAAAATTAATTAGGATAATAGTTGGCCTCCACACCTGGAAAAACTCCCTTCTCTTCTCTTCTCGAAAAGCGCCAATGGGATCTTTAATGTCCACCTGAATTGGCAGATCAGGCCTTGATTTGTCTAATGTCTAATCTAAAGTATGGCACCTCTGACAATACCACTCCCCAGTACTGCACTGGAGTGGTAATAATACAACAATAATAATAATAATCCTTGCATTTGATACAGCGCCTTATTACGTCTTCGAGACGTCTCAAAGCGCTTCACAGAATATACTGTAAAGCGAATTGACTGTATACTTCGTGGGTGAAACGCGGCAGCCAATTGCACACAGCAGCGTCCCCACAAACAGCTGTGGATTAAAGTCACCAATTTATTATTATTATTATTATTAGAATATGTAGCCTAAACTATGAGCTCAAAACCCTGACGTGGGACTCAAACCCACAACCTTTTGGGGTAGGGGAACGGTTTTATGGGGATGTTTCCTCCATTCCTAGAGGGAGAACTTTTGGGAGTCCAGACTTTACTTATCCTTCCAAGAAAAAGAGCAATCTGAACCACAGCAGCACGTACAGAGCTAGCAGCTGGGGATGGGGGGGGGGGGGGGGCAGGGGGGTGTGGGTCAGCTTAACTAAGGAAACAACTCCACAGATTACAGAAATAATGTCAGTCAGACAAGCCGGTCTCTTCTCTACAGCGTCCAGAACTTCTGTCGTCTACTTTGCTATTCCAAACGTCCTGAGAGTCGTCACACAGTCAGTCACTGGTCTGCGCTGAGTTAGTCGGTCTCCGAAGGGGCCTCTATAATTGAACTCATCATTCCTGGCAAGGGAAGAGAGGCATGATTTGTGATCAGTTTCCAGCAACTCCTAATAAAGCGCCTTGCATTTGTGCGTCAAGCAAGAACAGATGCTGTGATACCTCATTAGAACCAAATTCATACACAGATATTCCAAGCTCGTCCGGTGAGAGTCGTGTTTTGTTTTTCACGTTTGGGAAAGCAAACACAGCACTGGATCTCGGGGTATATCGGTGTCGGATTGACACAGTCGGTAGCTCTCACCTCAGAAAGCTTTGGGTTCAAGATCCACTGCATATTGGGATGTGCCGGCCTTCAGATGAGAGGTTAAGCCGGAGCCCCCTCTGCCTGGTCATTTGGACGCCAAAGATCTCATGGCACTATTCGAAAAAGAGAAGGGAGTTTCGCCCAGTGTCCTGGCCAACAATCCCCCAAATCAAGTTGGACATTCGTTTCACGGCGGTTAATTATTATTGTTATTATCATGATTGCCTCGATCTTGCTTAGGCCCAAAATGTCAGTGTGTCATGTGTGGGAATCACAATGTGGGTGTTAGTGTTGTTCGACTCTCTCTTCCCTCCCCGTACAGTATTGTGGAGTTGGATACCGGCTCACGTAAGGGGCTGAACAAACCTTTATCCTATTTGTTAACATCCTTCAAACCGCCAGCTCTAATCCCGTAATCGCTTTCCCCGGATCGTCTGGCACTGTACGTGATAATCTTTTAACAATAATCTTGTCCCAGATCATGCAGGGCTGGACTGCAACATTTGTGCAGTTCAAAACAACAGCACTTTTCATTGATATCATGTGAGCCTTTAAGAAGGACCACATGGTGCGGGAATAAAACACAGCCAAGAATACGCATGAGTCACAGGGATAGAACGACCGTTTAATTCCGCGCTCCCTCCTGGAAATTAGTTAGTTTAATGGCAAACAACTACAAATAATAATCCTGGCATTTGATACTGCGCCTCATCACGTCTTCGAGACGTCTCAAAGCGCTTCACAGAATATACCGTAAAGCGAATTGACTGTATATTTTGTGGGCAAAACGCGGCAGACAATTATTGCACAGATAGCAAAACCACAAACAGTCGGGGATTGAAGTGACTGAATTATTTTTAGTTTTTTTTTTGAAGGAATCACAGGGGGGTGATTTCTGCGCTGAATGGCCCGCGCATCGGCTTTTTGTTACCAGATTCCCACTGTGCCCGCTTTCTCGTCAGCAGATTCCAGCTGTAGCAAACAGGAAACATAAATTTGGAACTTACTTCCAGGATTCACCTTCGCACACTTGCTGTTTTGTCGCCGAGTTCTACAATTACTAAGTAAGCATCAGGTCGGGGTCCATTAATCTTTGCAAACTGCTATTATTTTCTTCGGTAATTATTCCAAAGAGAACGCCAGAGGATCAAAATACAGAGCAATTATAATCCCTTACATCTCCAGCAATATCGCTGCAGCCTGGTAATCCCGCACACTACACGTTGACTCTACACAGTCCTCAAATACCGCACTTTAGAGACCAAAACACAAAGGTGGCGTTTTGAATTATAGCAATAAAACTGAAACACCGTGAATAATAGGTTCTATATGAAAGGCACAAATTCTTAGAAGTCATTTGTGAAATGGAACTAAAATAATAATAATTTGGTCACGCAATCCACGACTGTTTGTGCGGACGTTACTGTGCGCAATTGGCTGCCGCCCACAAAATATACAGTCAATTCACTGTACGGTATATTCTGTGAAGCACTTTGAGACGTCTTGAAGACATGATAAGGCGCTGTATCAAATGCAAGGATTATTATAACTATATCTAATGCAGTTCCCAAGATATCCAAAAGCCTTCTCTATTGGGGATATTTTAAAACAGGGTTTGAATAACTCTCTTTTCTCCCCCCACCCCCCCTTCACCATCTTCAACCAATAGATTGTTAATATTGTCAAGGAGGATGTCTCAAAGTGCTTCACGGGATTTTACTGTAGGGTGTAGTGACTGTACTTTGTAGCGAATGGATTGACCTGCTTCAGCAGCAAACTAAGACCTCATTCCGCATTAAGCGTTAAACAAAATAGAATTGTCTTAAAAATAAAGAATGTCAGAGAACAACTACTCTTCTAAACAGTGGATGGACAGCAATCCATTGGCCAGAGTCTCCGACAACGTAGCGCTCTGGAAAGACTGCACTAAAATGCTCCCAAGAAATGCCCGAACCGCAATAATGTTCGCAATTTATTCATGCAGATGGACTGTTCCTGCCAAGGGAGGGATTGGCAAGAACATGGTGCAGGTTATCGATTTTTTTTTGTTGAAGTTAACATTAAAGGGAGGAGGAAGAGGAGGTGGGAAAGTCCCAAGTTTCAGTTAAAAAATCTAGGAATAAAAAGAAAAGTGCTTCACAGGATTTAAAAATAATTAATAATTAAAATTTGGTGACTCAATCCACGACTGTTCGCGGGGACGCTGCTGTGCGCAATTGGCTGCCGCGTTTCGCCCGCAAGATGTGCAGTCAATTCACTTAACAGTATGTTCTGTGAAGCGCTTTGAGACGTCTCGACGCTGTGATCGGGCGTTGTGTCAAATGCAAGGATCATTATTATTCTTGTTATGAGTATGCTGTAAAGTGGATCGACTGTGTACGTTGTGGGAGGAATGTGGCAGCTCGTTGTGCGCAGCAACGTCCCACCAACAGTCACGGAGTGAGTGACCGATTTTATTTGTGGGATTATTGACCAGGACACTGGGAGAAATTCCCTTCTCTCTTGTGCCATGGGATTGTGCCATGGAATCTTTAACGTCCACCTGAGCAGGCAGATGTTGGGATGTACCTCTTCACGGGTACTGAATATGTCGTTAATAGTAATGGCACTTCGTCTGCTCAGGAGGAACATACTGGTGTTTTCCTGCTCAATGTTGGCCGCTGTAACACAGTTCGTTTTATTTTAATGTTCCTGAATAGTGAGCCTACCCTTGTTGTGCCAATGTCTTGGAAAAAGCACATCTTTCCCCTGAGACAGGGTAGTTCAAAATAATCACTGGCTCAGTTAAATTCCATCTGCCCCGCAGACAATCACAGATTACCGTGTCAGCTGCACACACAACCGGCTAAACCGCTGCATAGCCGAGTCCAAGAGATTTCAAGAGCCTCAGAGGGTAATCAAGGCAGCAAGCAAGAGATTCATGTTCTCTGGGATGCCACTGCGCCACACGCGCTCTGTTCAACACACTCTCTGTTAAACAACAGCAGGCAAACTAGTCCCAGACTGGCTTTCTTCCTTCCCTGTGTCGGTTCTACACCGGTGCAGACCCCTTGAGTGGACGCAAGATCTTTTTTTTTAATCAAAATCGCTGGAATCTGCACACACGCCCACCCGACCGCAGTCTAATACACAAGCACACCCACATAATAAACTGTAAAATGACATACCTCCTCCACTGAGCAGGGCAGCACCACACGACTTTGAGAGGAAGAAAAGGAAAGAACAACTTAGCATAAAAGCTCAAATTTCACTAACGAGCAAAAGCAGGTAAAACAGGCAGAGTTACTGTTAAAACAGTTGCTCACAATTACCAACACAAACCGGGAACGCCCAGAAATAGCCCTTACGCAGACAACCCAACAGTACACTGGAGACTTCACACCTTTATAAAGAAATGCAAGACACAGGCACGCAGTCAGACACACCAAACTGGCTTCCCTGGTCAAAGTTAGTAACAGTATTCCCTGTGCGTGACCAGGGCTTCCTGCGCTTGCTTTTCCTCGTCAATCTCTCTCTCTCTCTCTGTCACTTTTGACCACTCCGTCCATCTCGTTAGTCTCTCCTCTTTGGCAAAGCTTCATCATTCTGCACTTCCCAAGTTTCACTCCCATTTATCGCAGCTTCACCATGTCTCCTCCAGCAACTTTCCCTTCTGCCCCCACATTGGGACGTCCTCCCGATGTGAAAGGCGCTAATCAAACGTAATTTTGTCTTGTATTGGGTCCTCGGGGCTCTCTCCTCAGTTCTCTTCTTTTTCTCAACTATATAACTAGGTCACAAGATTGCTTTTTAAATGAAGAAGCCCCTTGAACAACGTCCAATGTAACTGTTCCAGAAACCTCCACCCCCACACACGCAGCATCAAGCTACTTTTCAAATGAGTTCAGTGGCCTGGCCTCTACCACCCTTCCTGGTAAGCTGTTTGTCCCAATTGACCCTCTGAGCAAAGAAAAACTTCCTGGTATCTGTCCTGAAATTGCCCGTGACAACTCTAAGGATATATCCTCTTGCTCTATTGTCTTGGTGCATCCATTCAACATGTTGAACTGGGTTTACTTTTTCAATCCCTTTTAAAATGTTATATACCTCGATGAGGTCCCCTCTGAGTCATCTTCTCTCAAAACTGAAGAGCCCCATAGCTTGTCTAATCATTGCTCATAGCTCATTCCTCTAACACTGGGGATCATCCCCAGCTGACAGAAAGAGATTCACTCACTCACAGAGAGAGACTCACTCACTAACAGAGAGACTCACTCACTCACTCAATCACCCACCCACCCGCCTTCTGATGAAATCTCACTCGCTCACTCATTCATTCACCCACCCAGCAGGCATCTCCTCGAAGCTGAATTGGATCCAAGGTGATAATACGCTTGGAACCAGAATGTCAGAATCAAGTCAACTCTCTGTGGTGGTCTCAGTGGTCTGGTTCCTGGTCTGCAGTTCTCCAGGGCACTGCTGATGCCAGCACGGCTGCCTCGCTCACCCATAGAGCTTAGAAGGGCAAACCACTCACGGAGGGCAGGGAATCATCCCACTCCGCTCCTGTTAACCCTGCAAGCCCAACAGGTCGGGTGGTCCTCGCTGGACATTCGGCAGGAACGCTTGCCAGACAGTACTTTTCGAAGACAGATTATAGTTTTATCGGGTTAAATTCCAGCAGTACCCCAACACGCAGCCTGGCATTCCCCAAACCTTGGCACTTGCCAACCTGGGCCTCATACTACCCTCCGGGGAGGCAGTGCCATTACAATCCAATACACAGGATTTTCTACGTGAAAAGTGAGATGTAATGGAACGCAAATTTGGTTTGGATATTTCTTAAGCACATTGATGGGTTTCTACATGTGTCAGACAGACAACCCACTGACCCTCTGACAGACGGACCCTGGCTTCACTCACTCACTCACTCACTTGCTCACACTCTGACACACCCTCACTCACATTCACTCACTCACTCACTCTCTGACTCACCCTCATTCACACTCACTCACTCACTCACTCACTGTTTGACACTATTCACAAGTTACTCTGCCTCTCCCTGTCTCAGACTCTGAGAATCTCTCACTCACAGAACTCTTTGCACACACACACACTCACTCTCTCACACACTCACTCTCTCACACCCACTCACTCTCTCTCTCACACACTCTCACTCTCTCACACACTCACTCTCTCACACTCACACTACAACCACTGACATTCCCTGTCTCTCTTTGCCTCTGACACTCACTGCTCACACTCACACTCACACACACTCACTCTCTCTCACACACTCTCTCTCACACACACACTCACTCTCTCACACACTCACTCTCTCACACTCACACTACAACCACTGACATTCCCTGTCTCTCTTTGCCTCTGACACTCACTGCTCACACTCACACTCACACACACTCACTCTCTCTCACACACACTCTCTCTCTCACACACACTCCCTCTCACACACTCCCTCTCCCTCTCACACACTCTCTCTCCCTCTCACACACTCACACTCTCTCTCTCTCTCTCCCTCTCACTCTCTCTCTGTGATACTCACAATTCTTTGATCACAGACATCGCTCCCGCATTCCCTGCGGCGATGCCGTGTCCCCCCCCATGTAGCACAGGCCCCGCCTCTAAACCCCCTGATAGGCTGATGAGAGGTGAGGCCCCGCCCACCAGCTGTCAGATTGGCTACTAACTTGTTACATGATCAGCAACAAGAGGGGAACCCCCAACCCCAGGGTCTCCCCCATACCCCCCCCCAGCACCCCATACCCCAACCCCCCCAGCACCCCATACCCCCCCAACTCCCCCCAGCACCCCATACCCCCCAACTCCCCCCAGCACCCCATACCCCCAGCACCCCATACCCCCCAACTCCCCCCAGCACCCCATACCCCCAACCCCCCCAGCACCCCATACCCCCCCAGCACCCCCCCACCCCCCCAGCACCCAATAACCCCCAGCACCCCCCCGCACCCCCCAAGCACCCCATATCCTCCCAGCACCCCCCAAGCACCCCATACCCCCCCAGCACCCCATCACCCCCCCAGCAGCCCATACCAGTCCAGCACCCCATACCACCCCCAGCACCCGATAACCCCCCCCAGCACCCCATAACCCCCCCAGCACCCCATACCCCCCAGCACCCCATAGCCCCCAGCACCCCATAATAATAATAATAATAATCCTTGCATTTGATATAGCGCTTTTCACGTCGGGAGGACGTCCCAAAGCGCTTCACAGAACACACTGTAAAGTGAATTGACTGTATATTTGTGGGCGAACGCGGCAGCCAATTGCGCACAGCAATGTCCCACAAACAGTCGTAGATTGAAAATGACCAATTTATTATTGTTTTTGGTTTTGGAGGGATTATTATTAGGCTCTGTGTGGAGTAAGGAAACTTGCCCAAGGTTTCGTCCTCTGCCTGGAATTGAACTCAGGTCTCTCACTTGCAAAGCGAGTGCTCTAACCACTGAGCTACAGGACTCCACCCCCCCCAGCACCCCATAATCAACCCCACACAGCCCCCCCACCCATAACCCACCCCACAGCCTACCCCCCAATCTCAAACAGCCCCCACCATAGACCACCCCCCACTCCTGCCCCACACAGCCCCCCCTCCCTCCATAACCCACCTTGCACTCCACATAGCTGCCTCCCATAACCCATCCCACACAGATCCCCCCCCATAACCCACTTCCTATTCCACACAGCCCACCCCCAACCGCCATAACCCATCCCCACCCCATCATCTTGTATCCCAGTGCAGACACGCACCCCAACCCATCCACAACAAACATGAGCAAATCCCTTACAAGCCTGGAGCAAGTCACAACAGACTGCAGTATGGCAACCAAAGGCACGTAGACACGATGTCTATGAGGTGATCTTTTCTTACGACACTCGTGGCCTTTATTATATCCGCGATTCTGTAATTGCTCAGAAACTATGGCCACTAAAACCTTCCAAGAAGTTCACGCGGGGACAAAAGATTATCTAACGTGCGACACATTATTAATAACGTTATCGAATCTATTTAATGTGCGAAACATCGGCAATTATCCTGTTGAGTTTGGCTGGAACCACAATCGACTCACCGAAGAGCAACACATGATTCAATAAAACCAAAGGAATTAGATCACATGCATAAATATTCGGATAAAGTGTAAAGAGAACAGTGATTGTTGTGTGTGTGGATAATTCCAAATTATCCGTGTGTATTGCATCAGATGATTGGGGAGGACAAGTTTGCAGGGTTATCGGGAGAGGGCGGGGGAGTGGGATTGATTTGGACACTCTTTTCAAAGAGCCGGCAGACATAATGGGCCGAATGGCCTCCTTCTGTCCTATATAATTCTATGATTCTACAAGCACAGGGATAAACTGGAATAAACTTGTATGTTACACCACCATATATCACTTTGAAATGTCTCAAAGTGCTTTGCGTGTATTTATCGTAAAATGTAGTGACTATTTTTGTTGGTGAACATGGCAGCCTTTGTGACAGCCATGAAGCAAATTATTCAATAATCTGGAGACACCAGGAATAATTCCTTTCTCTTTTCAAATAGTGACGTGGGGCCTTTAACATCCATCTGAAGAAACAATAGAGGAATAATTATGGAGCAAGAAATGATAGCAACAAATAAAAGAGCGAGGAAGAATGTGAGAGGGATCACCTCAAACCATTTCTTGTCTTCAGTAAAAAGGGTGTGAGGGAGTTGTTGGAAAAACTCTGTTGGAAGTCTTATAAAGTTCAGAATTGTTTGGAGGAACAACCACAAATTGCATTTATCTAGTAACTTTCATGTCGGGAGGATGTCCCAAGGCTTCGGGACAATGAGGGGTTTGCACCCGAGCTGTGGGTTGGGATCAGAGAGAGGCGGAGGGCAAGGGGGAGGGGTAGAAGGAAAGATGACCAAAGGCATGGTTGAAAAGGAAGGTCTTGAAACGAAATTTGAAAGGGGGCAAGGACTCTGGAAGCGAGGCGGAGAAGGCTCTGGAATGACGTCCCAGAGGATGGGGTGGGGCAGAAAGAAAACAAAATCTATTTCAGATTTGGAAAGAAAACAAAATCGAGGAAAACAAATATTTGACACAAAAGAGGAAACTTTGTTGGAGGCGTCTTTAGAAACAGAGTGGATCTACGAATCCGCCTGCGATCGGGCCAACATTGATGAATGAAGGGGGTAGAATATTGGTGGGAGAACATTCCCTGGCACGAGGGAAGGTATGAGTGGCAGCGCATAAAGCAAACACATCGCACGCTCGGAAACATGCGCCCAGAGTGGAACCAGAGCAAACGCCCCAGGCGTTCGACCTCCCACGGGGCTTTTTGATACGGTTACAATCACCAAACACATCCTCAAGCATCCAGTTTCAACGTGTTTATTTAGTAATAATTCTGTATTCCAAATTCTATTTCTGTAACATTTTTAATTGCATATTATAATTGATCGTGTTACTGCATTATAAGGATGGGCCCTGTGCCAGGGCAGCTCTGCAGCCGAGATAGCGCAGAAACCAGTCATCTTGCATAAAGTGTCTTGTCCCCACCTTTTTTTTTTCCTAATTCCTAGGCAGTCTGTCAGTGGTGAAGCAAATCAAAGGTACACATTAAAATGCAGAACACTGTAAAAAAAAATACTGAGATATGTACATATAAATAAACCTTAGAATGGGTTTAACACAATCGGATATTTACAAGTTTACAGCTTTTGTAATTATGTACAGAGTAGCTCCAAGGGAAGCAGGGACATTGCCAAACATTCCACTTGTGAATTAGCTGTAAAAAAAAAATCTCATCACCTCAAATTTCAACGGGGGTTGGGATTCTTTAGTTAATTAATTCTCCTCCGTTTCTTTCTGTAAGTGTTTGGCTGTTATAACCTCGCTGGCCTAGCGCTGAACCCAGTGCTTAAACCAGGTCTTGAGGACTCTGCCTGGTGTCCCCTCAGCAATGTGACACCGTTCCACATTAAGAGAGCTTCCATCACGGTCAGTATCCGAGTTTCACACTGCAAGACAGCAGCGGCCTTAATAATAATAATAATAATCCTTGCATTATGATACAGCGCCTTATCACGTCTTCGAGATGTCTTAAAAGCGCTTCGCAGACTACACTGTGAAGTGAACTGACTGTGTATGTTGTGGGCCAGGGAGAGTAACTGCAACCGTCAGCCTGTCTCAACACATTCAGCTTGCAAGTTCGAACACACAAAACTGCAAGGGCTGCAGTTGTTCCACGCGAGAGAGTTGTGATGCACAGAAGAGGCAGCAGAAAGGGCACATCAGGTCACCTCTCAGGAGTGCATGGCTGTGGCACCGGGTCTGAAAGGCTGGCAGTCCAGCGCATTTTAGAAGCAATGACATGTGGAGACATCGTGAACAACAGATGGTCACTGAGTGGTATTTCCCCAGGCTCCCTATTGCTGCCAAGATCTGGGGAGGGCTGAGGGGTGGGGAGGAGGTCTGTGTGGGGGAATTGGCGGGCGGGTTGGTTGAGGGAAGAGGGGAGCTGCCCAACATTGCTGTTTGCAGCCACTCTGGTATATGGTTCCATTAGAGATGACCACAGGGTTCCCTGAAAATGCGCTGCTCAGTTCAGTGGCTTCCCCTGGAAAATGACTTGTGCCATGTTCTGGATGATGAGTCGGTTTGTTGTCTTAAACAGTCATGCGCCAGTATTGTAGTACTGTGTGTTTTAAAGTTTCCTGTCACTGAAAAGAGCAGAGACATCCCAGGAGTTGAGTTGGTCAGTCATTTCATCACATTCACCTCTCTCACGCACACCTCTCTCTTGATTCACACACACACACACACACACACACACACACACACACCCACACACGCACAAAACAACACCTCACATTTCTGCTATGTGCTCTGTTAACATACCACAGATATTTCTTCTTTAGTGGCCTCTCCTAAGACAAACAAGATCCTCGGGAAGAGTCGGGCACAATTCACTGGTCTGTACTGGGCGATTGGGAACTTCGCAATTGATCAGAAACCAGGAGCAATTTAATTGCTCCTGATGCCACAGGTCGAGAATTAATAATAATATTAATACATGCACAAAATAACCCCCTTCACATCGGAAGGACTTCTCAAAGGGCTTCACATGAATTACTGGAAAGTGTAGTGCCTGTATTTTGTAGTCCTCTGTCATTATTAATGGCCGGGAATATGCTTCTAAATACTGAAAGGAGGGGGAAGAATAATATCCTAATCCTTGCCATTGTTAGAGCGCCTTTCACGCTGGGAGGAGACGAAAGCACATTCACAGGGAGTTTACTGCAGAGTTTAGTGACTTTGTTTTTGTATTTTGTATTTTGTAGTCAAAAGCAAAAGACTGGAGGGCGGCCAAGCTTTCCAAATGTTTCTGAGTCACAGGACGTGGAGCCACTTCACATTGTCCTGCCCAGTTGCAGTACCAAAGCTTCAGTCACACACACGCACCACCGCCCAGCGTTCAATCATCAACAACTGATGTTTATATAATCTTATACGTCATGGAGCACTTTACAGAGATAGTCCTGGACACCGACCTACGGTGTGTGTGGGGAAGGTGAAAAGGACTGAGCAGTGTGTGGGGCTGAGGTGCAGGTGAGCAGGCAAGTCGGGACTGCGCTATGGTGTCCAGCAGGGTGTTCCCAGTTAAGACACAATGTGGAAGCGATAGTTGGAAACCCACTGCCAGTCAAACCAAATCAGCACAAGATCTGCCCTTGAACAGGCGCAGGCAGTGTGGGCTCTGAGCTTCTCTGCCCGACTCTCAAATATTTCTGTTACTTCAAAATCGAAGGAAAACGGCAAAGTAATACTTTACACTTGGAAGCAATCCTCCTGTGTACACGAACAGACCTTCCCCGTGTATACGCAACGGACCCCAGCTCTGTGTACACACAGGGTCCACTCCCCCTGTGAGTGGGCATGGACCCTCTCCTTGAGCGCATGGTGAAGCCCCCCCCCCCACTTATTCTACGATTTCCCAATGTTGAGGGGAGTGAAGCAGGCAGAACGCGCTGAACAGGTGTGGGCTCGCCTCAGACGCACAGACGGGGAGCGACGACGAGAACAACAACAACAAATGACATTTGCGTAGCGCCTTTCACGTCAGGCGGACGTCCCACCCCTCTCAACACGAAGCTCAAGTCTAACCTAGACCCGCCAAGCCTAGCGATTAAAACAAACCTTGGCAACAAAAGCTGCCGTCACCACAGACTGACTGACTGACTGACCCGACAGTGTCGACACGACGCAAGTAGGTTCATAAACGGTAACCGGGAACTGACTTAAGAAAGGAGGGCCAAATGCCGTTTTTTTTTTCTGCTTTGATAAAAATACGATCTGTTGGGTTTTTTTTTTTACACACACACACACGGTGCGGTTTTGTTGTTGTTTTGTTGTGTAACGGTATAAAAAAGGTCAGCGTTGTTCAGGCGGCCCGAGAGTTTACAAAAGAGGACGCGCTCGTGGGCAGAACAGGCCCCGCGTGCTGAGCCCACGCGCTCTCTCTCTCTCTCTCTCTCTCTCTCCCTCCCACGGGGCTGTTGGTGTGGCCGCTACCCTCAGCACTTTGAGGTGGGGAAAAACTTTCTGGGAGACAGGAACTTGTAACCGTTGCCCGAGGGCAGCCGGGGGGGCTGGTGCTGAGTCTGGGGGGGGCTCCGGGTCTCGGGAACCCCCGCTGCTTTGCTACAATCGCCGCGTCCGTTCTGCACCCTCTTGTCCGAACCCGGCAGTTTGGGGAACTCCTTCAGCTCAAAGCGATCCCCTTTCCCCCCCTTGTCGCGTCTGGCTGGTGAAAGGTTCAGGTAACTGAGGGCATCGCCTTTGGAAGGCACCAGGGGCGGTTTGGGTTTGAGGCCTCGCAATGGGCCGTGGCCAGGGCTGGTCCACAGGGTCTTGAGGTTGTGAACGGCTTTGACCTTCTCGTCGATGGCTGTCAATTTCAATCGGTTCAGATCTGGAGTGTCCGCCGGGCTGGAGCGGGCGGAGCCGGCGGAGGAGTAGGAGAGGGCAGGAGAAGGGTTGCTGTCCGCTGGAGACTGCTGGCCTGAGCTGGGCGAGCGAGAGATGTGGGCGCTGTAAGGGGAGCTGGGGTACTTGAGCCTGATGGCTGGCTGGTCGCTCGAGGAACCCGGGGACTGGCGAGAATCCAGCACCGGGGAGCACGATGCCGAGGTCTGGCTGGTGTCGGAGAGCCCAGGGGTCGGGCTGCAGCCCGAGCCCACTTGCTGGAGGGAGCAGCTGCGTGTGGGGGGCTTTGGCTTGGTGTTGCCGGGCGAGGGGGCTTTCTGGCCGGGCAGCAGCTGCTGTGGTCTCCTGAATGCGCTGCTGTCTGACGACTTGAAGGTGGTGCAGTGGGTCTGAGCGGGGGAGCCTGGCTGAGCCTCGCCGCCCCCCTGGTAAAGACGCTCCACTGCCAGCAAGTGGCTCTGAGTCTCTTCCAGGATCTTCTTAGCCAGCTCCTGGGGATCCAGCTTGGGCCCCTTCTCCTCCTGGGACTTGACGGTGCTGTCGGTCTCCGTGCTCGACTGGTCCGATTCCCCAGTGTCCGAGCCCAGCACCTTGTTCCTGCCCTCCACCTTCTGGAAGGGTGAGTTGGGGCTGGGAACCAGGGTAATTTTGGCCGGGGAGTTGGGAGCGCTGACCGACCGTCTGTCCCCAACTCCGCCCCTGCCTGGCCTCGTCGCCTCGTCGCTCCTGTCCGTCTCGTCGGCAGCCAGGGATGAGCCGAAGGGGTCCGGGCGAAGTCCGAGGGGCTCACTGCTGATGATGGAGAAGCCCTCGTCCTCCTCGTCCTCCCTGCTGCTCTGACACGTGGAGGTCTTGTGTGGGAATGTGCGACAGCGCTCGTAGTCCTGCCGGGCTCGCGGGAGCCCACCCTCGCCGCTCAGCTCCGTCTTGGAGGCGAAGCTCATGGAGGAGGCGATGGAGCTCAGGCTGTAGACGGAAATGGCGTCTGAGGCCATGGAGTCCCCGTAGGTGGGGGAGAATGGTGGGTGAGGCTGCCCCAGAGGATTGGAAACAGACTGAGAGGAGGAGAGAGACTCCAGAGAGGATGAGCTGTCCAGGCTCAGCCGTTTGGGCAGTTCGGTGGAGTCTGGAAAAGAGTAAAACATCATTAAGTATTGAGAACCCACAGACTAACACTGTCACTCCCCCTACCCTCCCACTGACCCCACACCTCCATCACTGCCTCTCCCCCACCCCACTGATTCCACACAGCACCCACTGTCTCCACAGTATCCACAGCATCTATTGCATGAGTTGTAAAACCTTCTACAGCTCCATGTTAACAAGAGCGAGGCTCTCCTGCTTGGCTCCTGTCAGCACCTCAGAATGTTCCTCAACTGTCCTTCTCACCCTATATCGCTCTGGTTTCCCTCAGCTCCGGAATATCAGCCGGCTCCACTGGCTCCCATCCCCCTCAGCTCAAATTCACCATCCTCCTCCACGCACTCAAGTCCCTCCACGGCCTCGCACCCACCCTTAGCTCTGCAGCCTCCTGCAACAATACCGACCTGGCTACTCCCTCTGCTCGACACACACACACACACACACACACCGGCCAGCTGGCCAGATATGGCCTCAGAGCTGTGTGGGAGTCAGACGCACAGCTGCTGAGTTCCGGATAAGCTGGGATGTGCGCAGGGTTCAAATGGGAGAACAAACATTAGGAAATTCAAGCCTGAAGGTGATGAAGGACAAGGGGATCTCCCTTTGGCCCACAGCCTTCCCCGTGCTGAATGCTCCCGGGCAGGGCTGCAAAATGCAAGCCAACGACACCGGCAGAGAGGCCAGGGGTCGGAGTGAGCAAACCAGTGTAATGGAAAATCGTCGTAAATCAGAAGAGGGGAAAATACCGTTGCAAACATATATACACAAATTTGCCCGTAAATGTGGTTTAGAGTAAATCTTGGGAAACGCTTTGAGATGTCTCAGCGATGTGTGATTCCCCATTCTGTATCAAATGCAACGCTATATTCTAATAAAAATTTAAACATAATGTACAAGTTACTCCAGCCCATCTCCCACACGCAGCAATAAGACTTTGACAAGAGAAATGATTGTAGATTTGGTGGTTTCCCCAGGAACATAGTTCAGTGCAATTCAGAATGCGCAATGCAGTCCGATCTAATTACACAGGATCCCTTGTAGCTACAAGCTCTTGTGCTGGTGATTCATTGCAATGGAGCACTGAATGGTTCAGGTTCTGTAAATATAAAGCTCTATACCCTGCTCTGACTGCAGTAATCACATCTCCAATACATTATAAATTACTGAACAGCCGTCCTTCCGTGCCAGCCAGTGTCCGGACATTATTATTGTGAATCCTTTCGAACGTAATTGTATTAAAATCAATCCATTTTCGATTAAACAATCTCCATAAAAAGGTCGAGTGAGACTCAAAGGAATGTGATTGAATTTTGAATAAGGAAATATTTTTGCTTTTGGACACCACTGATTGAAGTTTTCCCTTCCCAATAAGACAACATCTTTCGCTGAAGCCTGCCCCGGTGAACCTTGCCACCAAAGGTCAGGATAACTGAATAAGAAGAGCATTTCATGTAACAGCAGGGCACAGCGTAACAAAGTTGACGCTAAGGCTCCCCCTCCTCTCCTGAATCATGCTGGGGTATAGTTCCACGGGAGTCTTTTGTCATGTGTGAGGCTTGACCATGTCAGCAGGGTCCCTGATCGCACACAGTGAGGGGAATCACAGCCACACCCAATCCCGTATATCTGCCACCTTCCTGCCCGCAGATCCCACTGAAATTTGTGCCCACTGATTCTCCACGTCGGCCAATCTTCCCTATTTGCTCCCGCCTACGCATTTTGAATCGCAAGGTTGTGTTGGAATGTTCTGGAACTCACCAAACAACGCCAGCAGGGACTGGAGGGCAAAGTGCATGATCTTCCGGTTTGCCTGTTTCCCTGTCTTGAGCACCACTTCCTCCTGACCCACTTCACACAGATCAAACCCTGGACAAGAGTCGGAAAAGAAACAAGAGTGTACGTCAACGGCCAGCACGTGTAAAATAGATCTACAGATGGCACCCCCTCCCCTTGCTCCCCATCGCATGCTTTCCAACCAATTGCTGGGCGCAAATGGCCGCTGCGTTTCGCCCACAAAATATACAGTCACTCCGCTTTACAGTATATCCTGGGAATCGCTTTGAGACGTCTCGAAGACGTGATAAGGCGCTAGATCAAATGCAAGGATTAATATTAGTGTCATTATCCACTAATTCTCCGCCATCAGTCTGTAGGAGCGAGTGGACAACCACCTCTAGAGGATGAAAGCTGACAGGGTTTGACAATAACTAGGGAAGTGTTTGGCTTGAATTCTGTGAATTCTCTTGGTCGTGACGGAAGCCTAACGTGTAGGTGTGGGATACAAACCGTGTTTTTTCCCTGAACGCAATCTCTGTTCCCAACGTGCCCAGAGCCCGAAAGGGATTCTCAAACATTCAGCTAACTGTGCTGCAGGCAATAAACAAGACTGCGGACAGCATGCCGGGATTCAACGTGCATGATTCAGCGGATCAGCACATACTGATGCTCCAGGCCTCGCGCAGTGTCCGGAAGGGCATCTGCGATGCCTTGTGAATAGATATCTGTTTACATTACATGCTAGCACAAGCCCATCCTTCATCACCTGTACTTCACTGGCTGTCTGAGAAACACGCAACACCAAAGAGGTGTTGAGTAACTTATGCTCATGTGTGGAGGCTGCTTACAACAACAACAACAACAAGATTCCATTTATAAAGCGCCTTTCACGTCAGGAGGACGTCCCAAGGCGCTGCACAGTTGCTTAACAGTCAGAGGAGCACAATCAAATATTTATTTACTTTTTCTGTCATTTATTCTAGCCACTTAAGAGGCAAGAGGTGGTAGAAAAGGCTGATGTTGGCTGTGGAAGCTGCTAATGTAACCAGGGGAAACGGGACTTGACAGAAAATGATCCTTCTGGGACCCACTGGGCAAATTCTTCGAAAAGGTTACCAATATATCCTGCTTATCTGTGACTCTCCGAACACTCGCGTTTAATCATAATTATTCCTTCACAGACCACTTGCGAGCAGTTTAGCTGCTGCATATTAAGTGCTGCTCAGCACACACCGTTTCAAGGGATGAAGGTTGAAGCCGAATGGCTTCAGCTCTTCAGGGTTCTCAGCGAACAGTTATCATCACCAACGCAGTCGTGCGTCAGTCCCACGGTAAGATACACGCAGAGCGCGCGTGTGTGTGTGTGTTCACTCTGAATAACTCATCACTCCCAAGAGAAAAGGGCTCAGCGACGAGTTATCAGGAGTCGCTAGTTAGGCCTGGGTCCTCCCGGGCCACAAGGGGGCGCCGTGACTGGTGCGGGCCCTCAGCCAGAGTTGGGCACTCGCTCAGATGCCTCGCAGAGGCTTCTGGTCTATTTAGAGGGCAGTGCTGTGGCTTCCCATCCCACCCTGCCACACTAGAGACATAGGTCGCCAGGTATACACGCACAGGTCTGCATCAATGTATTCAGAAATAAACAAGGAGCCAAAAAACAACGCTCTTCACCAAATTCTAACCCATCTGAGTAACGGAGAAGAACCGAGACTCAGAGACACAAGCGGCGATAATAAATCAGCTCAGATTCAGTCAGAAACAGTGTGTGCGTCAGGCGTTGGGAGACCGTAACAAACACTCACTGAGTCGGTGCTGCTGTCTCAGACTGCATATCAGCCTCACTCGGCCCTGAACTATGATTTTGTAAAATTCCTTCAGTATTCCCCCCGCCCCCCGGCACTCTAACCAGAGGGGACAAATAGAATTCAATCCTAATTTAGATTCCAGAGCGCACAGCCAAGGTCTGATGTGTAACCAGCATCTGCTTGTGTCACTGATAAGGAAAAATGTGTCAGCGAGCAGAGAGAGCAGATGACAACGGCAATTTCCAGGCTGTCAGCAACGATCTGGTTTCTGATGAGTTTATTTGGAAAGGATCTATTGAAATAACTTTTGTGGCTTCAGATTTCTCCATCGCTTTGCGTTGCCACACGACGAATTGTTAAAAGCGCAGCAAATTAAGCAGGATAAATGCTCCGCTCCCCAGGAAGGTGACTGCACACAGATAATTTTCTCAAAGTCACTTTAACATAATGGTCGCAATGATTTAGAACAGAGGAACAATCAGCCAGGCCTGACTGCTCGTCACCACCTCATTTAAAAGGCAATTTCGACGTTCAAGGGACGTTCAACGATACGGTTCTTTCTTCGAATTAAGGAGGCAGTGAGTGTTGCTTTCATGTCTATTTAAAGAAATTAATTTCTTTTTTTTAAAAAAAAGTACGCCATTTAAAAAGCGACCCACCAGAACAAGGGCTTTTGTCCCTTCGGGAAAGATAGTTTCTGAGCTCTAATAATAATAATAATAACCCTTGCATTTGATAGAGCGCCTTGGCATGTCATTGAGACGTCTCAAAGCGCTTCACAGGATATACTGTAAAATGGAGTGACTGTATATTCTGTGGGTGAAACGCGGAGGCCAATTACGCACAGCAACGTCCCACAAACAGTCCTGGGTTGAGTGACCAAGTTATTATTGTTTTAAAAAAAAATTTTTTTTTGAAGGGATCATTACCATCTGCCAATCGACTAACAACCAGGTTCCTACTGGAAGCAGAGGGGGGGTGGGAGGTGGAAGAACAAAGAGGAACACTATGCCGTACGTACCTAGTGCTGCCAGGAACTCGTGACAACCTGGCAAACGCCACAGCTGTACGCTGATAGAGACCTGGATGGGCACAGATGAATATTCCTGCTCTTTCTCTCCGGACTGAAGCTGAACCAGGACCTGATGAAGCTGTGCCCAAAGAAAACGAAAACCATTTTACAAACACAAGATGCAACACAGGTCACATCACACTGCTGCTCGCTGACTGAGAACAATATAATCAACGCTTGGTATAAGGAGGAAATCTAGTTTTTTTAAAAAAAAACAGGGGGGAGGGAGGTGGTGGGGATGGGATAGAACTTGAATTTGCCCTTGACTAATCTGCATTGAGTGGGCACCGAGCATATGTGAACTCGCCTCACAACTACAGTATGTGTGTATGTGTGTGTGTGCATTACACCTGCCATTTGATGTGGGCAAATACATCCCAGTACATAAGCTCCCAAACTCTTTAGAATTAGAGATCCCTTACAAGAAATCGTGTGTGTGTGTGTGCGCGCACACATGGTGGGGGGGGGGGGTGGGGGGGTTCTGAGGACAAGGGCTCACTCCATCCTGATCTCACGTGATGTTTGGAACCCTGATCTTTGAGACGTTACCCTATTTGAAGTGCACTACATGAGTACACGTTGCTGGTACTGATCAAGGCCAGATTGGCAAAAGCTTGGAGCAGGTCTGCTGGGTGAGCATTTAACCACAGAACATCCCAGCCAGGACGCACGCTAAAGGGAACTGATCACTGAGACGCCACTGAAATGGCCAGAATTTCACCACGAGACCATTTTGACTTAAAAGTTTAAGATTATGCAGAATCGTGAACAATTGTTAAATTCAACAGCAACAACAAATTACAATTTACACAGCGCCCTTCAGGTTGGGAAGAGTCCCAAGGCGCTGGACAGTCAGGGATTTGGACTCAAGCAGGCGTTTGGGATCAGGTGGGGTCGGAGGGCAGGGAGGGTATGGGATGTGAGGGTGGCCGAAGACGCAGTCGAGGAGGAGGATCTTGAGACGTGCCTTGATGGATTCGAGGGAGGGAGGGAGTGAGGCAAATGGACTGGGGGATGGAGTTCCAAAGGGTGGGGGGCAGAGAGGCTGAAGTCTGAAATTCCTTCTCAATTCCTTTCATTTGAACAATTGCACAATTTATTTCCTTCCTTCCAAATTAAGGCTGAATTTTGAATTTTCCATTTAGCTTAAATTTGAAGACAAAATGGCTTTACAAGTTGACGCTGAGTAGAATTTTGACTTCAGAAGCCTTTTGGATCTTCAAACCCTGCATTTTCAGACCTGTCACACACTGACAAGAAAGCAATGTTCTCTCTTGCAAACACTGATCACTGCACTCTGCATTTTCTGCTCGTCTTGAATGACTCCAGCTTTTTAACGTTGATAGAAAACAAGGTTTTAAAGTGAATTTACTGCAGTGTTACAAACTGAGCTCTCAATGTGATGGGGAAAGGGGGCGCTGGGGGAATTTTGTGCTGGTCAGTTCACTGACCGACCTTGGAGGAGAATCCTGCTCGAAGCTGGTTGGGAGAATCATTCACTTGGTTATTGACCACATTTACACTCTGGGAAACAGACCGACAGGATGCAATCTCCGATTCACATTGCTCATTTGCCCTGGACACGTTTAGTGCAGTGGTGAACACCAGCAAGTGATTGAAGGGTTAAATTATCCTCGTGAGACACACACACACACACACACACACAGACCCGTTATCTGATTAAACATCTTCGATCTTAAGTATCCAATCAGCTGGGTTCAGCCCGATTGCCTGTGAACTTGTTGGGAGGTCGAATTTAAATTGAACTGTCAGCTGTGTAACATGTAAACCCTTTTACTGATCCACACAGCAGGTTACCATGGGAAACTGCCACAATCACAGCACAGTCCCATCCCCGGCAGGACCCAGTCACCCAGAGACTCGCTTACATCGTGAGACACTGTTAAACTGATGGTGCTGCTGTTTATTATTTCCTGCGTCAAGTTTAAGTCAGGGCAGAGCTGTAATTGTAAGGTATCTTACTGTTTGAGGTGCTGAATTGGCTTCCTCTATCCTTGCCCGGCTCCCCTGGCTCCCCATCCCCCAGAGGATCGTGTTTAAAATCCTTGTCCTCACTCTTAAAACCCACCCCCCCCCCCTCCGCAGTCGTGCTCCTCCCTGTCTCCGCGACCTAACACGATACGAACCTGTCCACTCCCTCTGCTCAGCGGACACTGACTGGCCTGCTCCATGTCTCCCGCTATGCCCCCCAATGGCAGTCGGACCTTCAGAGTTTCTGCTCCTACTCTCTGGAACTCCATCCTGGAATCCCTCCGCTCGCTCCCTCCAAAGCCCGGCTCAAGACCTTCCTCTTTGACCGTGCCTTCATCCCACCCTCCCACCCCTCTTGATTCCAACCCCCAGCTCAAACCCTCGACTATCCAACGTCCTTCAGACACGAAAGGCGCTGATACAAATGCAATTTGTTGTTGTTTGTTGCCTCTTTTAGCGGCAGGGAATGTCTTGCGGACCGGACAGATTTCATCTGCTTTAAAGAGGAAGAGACCATAGTCCCAGGATTTCATATCCGTGCAGAGATCAGTGCAAATGTTAAAGAGCCAGTTTGTTTTATGATTAGGGAAAGTGAGCATATGTCTGCCGGGTCAAAATGGATTAGGTTCAATAAACTGCCAACTACAACAAGGGAAAAGAAAATAGCGCTGAGAGTGTGCGGGTGGGTGGATGGGAGAAGGTGGGGGGCTAAACACTTTGCTGCAGAGTCCGAAAGATTATCGTACGAGTCGCCCTCACTCCAGCTAAAAGCCGTAGAGAAGGCACAATAGATAATACAAATAACAGGAGGTTGTTTTCAGGCAGAGACTGTCCTCTGGTGATGCAGGGCTTCGAGTTCTTGGTGGGAAGGACCAATTCTCACTGATGGTTAGAGAGAGACTATCTGCGGAGGTTACACTGGTAACTCCTGGCCTGAAATTGACAAGATTGTTCATCAGGAAGAAATAAAAAAAATCAATATTGCATCTCGTCGGCGAGGCTTATTGTACGGGAGTTCCCTCTTCTGGTCACAGCCAGAAACACAGGCTCTGCTCACGCAACAACAGCATCTGGGGGTGTCTTTGCTGTTGTTTTGTGCGAGACACGATTCCGAATGGGAAAGAGAAACGAAGAGAGCGAGGGCAAAGCAAGAGACTGCACGAGAGGCAGGCAGGCAGACAGACAGACAGACAGAGGGGATAGAAGAATGTGAAAAGGGGGAGAAAACGGTCAAGAGTTAATAATAATCATCCTCGCATTGGGTACCGTGCCTTATCAGGTCTTCGAGACGTCTCAAAGCGCTTCGCAGAATATGCTGTAAATTTTGTGGGCGAGTTGGAAGAAAAAGAATTGGAACAAGGGAGCGAGTGTAGGAGAGGCAGAAAGAAAAGCAAAAGGTAAGGGAATGAGAAAACAAGCAAGCTGAGAGGCAAAAGGCTTTAAAATACTGCAGATAAAAACAGTATTACCGTCTTAAAAAAACAGAAGTTGCCCTGGGGGACAAAGTGGCTGTGAGAGAGAGGAGAGGCTATATGAGAGAGGGGGGAGGAAAGCGAAAGAGAGAGAGGGGGAGAGGAGAGGTGAAAGAGATTGTATGTGAAATGGGAGCGTAGATTAGTGAGGCGGTGACAGAGTGAGACACGGCTTGTACACATCTGCCTTGTGTGTGGGGGGGTGGGGGGGGGAGGCTTTGTTGCTTTATGAAGCAGCACAGTGTGGGGCTGCCAAGTCGATTAAGAGGCACTAAAATTTACGGCAGTTGGGAATCATTACCTCGGTCATAAACAAACACGGAGAATATAAAGATAACACCTTTTAATAGACTGTTGTTTTTATCGTGGAGTTGAGCATTCAAACCCTCCGAGGTCTTGACAACAGGATGTTAGAGGCTGCATGCCACCTCCCGGTTTTATGGCCTATTTCTGATGTATTGATTTAAATCATCTCCGGAAATGAGCGTAAGTTTGAATGTTCTCAGATGCGCAGGATGTCTGAGGATTTTGGTCACTGACAATGAGGCACTTTCTACAGTCAGAGGCTTCCTCTGGTGCCTGAAATGCCATACTGTAAGATCGTTTTGTCTTAAAATCTAACACTGTACACCATGGTAATAAATTCGCCAATTCAGCCAAGGGATGGAGGAGGAATCTTCTCATTCAGGATTCTTCCAACACTGTTTTCCAGATGCTCATTTTGCAGAGGTTCATTTTACACCTGGCAAACCTGGAGGGACTGCAGAGCTGTAAGGACATTAACTACACTCTGATCAACAAGACTAACTCTTTTAAGGTCTAAAAACCACATTGAGAATTGAGTTGGAATCAAAGTGAGGGTTCGAGACGGAACCAGAGGAAGGTCTGGTGGTTCAGTCCCACTGAGGAGCCAGAGCTGAGAAGCATGAGGTGACTTGTACCTGATTTTTTCCCCAAGGTGAAATCTTCTGATCATGAGTGTCAGGAGGGAGGAGGGGGTTGAAGTTAATTGCAATGCCTCAACCCAATGTCAGGAGTGAAGGGAGAGAGGGAGGGTGGGAGGGAACTGGGTGAGGCAAAGGGAACTGCAATGTGGGCCACTTTATAGCAGTGTAAAGTTAACCAAAAACCTGGTGCAGGTAGTGGAAACTGATGGCAAGTTATCCTGAAGTCTACAACTTACACAGGAACAGCATTTTNAAAAAAAAGCATATTACATTGTGAACTCTGCAACACAAAGCGTGTCAAAGAAGAAAGCTACAGGGTCAAAGGGGTAACACGGTTCAGTGTAACAGCCAATGGTTTAAATACTTCAGTACACTTACCATTCCAACCATATTTTTAACAGCCTTCAAACAGGAGATTAGGAGAGAGAAAAACAACAGGCTTTAGACACATGCATAGGTTATATTCAAGCGCAGTCATTTAAACAGCAATCAACAGTAAAGCTAGAAAATAACACACAAACGGTGAAAGATGAGCAGAGGGAGGCTGGCACAGTGCATTAAGCTGCATTAAAGGCACATTTACTTGACTGGGTGGGCCGAGAGCAACAGTGGTGTGCAATTATTAATACTAGTAATAATTCTTGCATTTTGCCTCATGCCTATACCATCAAAAGCTTTAAAAAGAACACTTCACAGGTAGTTACTGTCAAGTGCATAACTGTGCATATCGTAAATAAATGCAGCGGCTAATTTGCACATAGAGAGGTCCCACAAACAGCCATGAAATGAATGAGCAATTTATCTGGAAAACTATTTACAATTACACCTCGCTCTTTTCAAACAGTGCCATGGAATCCTTAACAAACAAGACAAGAATAATCACTGTTTAACATGTTATCTGAAGGACGTCACCTCTAATTATGCAGGGACCGACCCTCTCCCCTCCCCAAAACTGCATTGGAGCGTCAGTCCAGACTGTGAACCCCCAAGTTCCAATATGGGTCTGCAACCCATAACCATCTGACCCAAACATGGAAGTCCTACCAACTGAGTGTGCTGACAAATTGATAAGCATTGGTGGTATGGAAAGGCTCTCATTGGGTGTGTGAGTAATTTCCTGGACTTATCAATATTGTAGATGCAGGTGATGAGGAGATTGTAAGAATGACAGGTATTTTGAATTTAGAGATACAGTAACTTGGAAGAGTCATTGAAGGACAAGGCACCAGGAACGGAGTGAGTGCCACGCGCAGCTAATTCAGCAAGCAGTTAATGAACTCAATCATACTTTGGGAGACATATTTAGGGGCTCATTGGAAATGGTGCCTGAGGTTTTGTGAAGAGAGAGCATTGTAATGCTAATTTTCAAAGAGTGGCAAATAGATAATGTTGGAACTGGAGCCCATGAGGTTGACATGTTGTAGGGCAATATTTGGGACAATCAAAGTGGGGGGAGAGGGGGGGAGGGGGGATAATGAAACAGTGGAGAAACAGTTATAAGAAAGACTCGGCCAAAGCTTATGGGAGTGAGATCAGTTTAACAAATCTGTTGCAGTTCTTTGAGGAAATAATAGAACTTGTGCACAAGGGGAAACTCAATGGCAAGGTTGCAGCTGGGCAATTAGATTGATGGCTGGAATTAGGTTTCTGAGTTATGAGGAGACCAACGAAGCTGGGAATGTTCACACTAAAATAGAGAAGGCTCAGGGGAGAGAGCTTATTTAAGGTATTCAACAATCTAAAGGGTGTAGATAAACTGAAGTGTAAAAAGTTTAACACGGTCAAAAAATCTACAATAAAAGGGACTCAAGCTCCGGAGAGGGAAGGTGAACAGACAGTTTAATTTGACATTATTTTACACAGAGAGTGATGAGTACATGGAATAATAGTAATAATAAATAATCCTTGCATTTGATATAGCACCTTATCACGTCTCCGAGATGTTTCAAAGCGCTTCACAGAATATACTGTAAAGTGAATTGACCGTATATATTATGGGTGAACAGACAACCTAGGGAGGTGTGGAAACAGACTATTACAGTTCACTCGAGGGAATTAGATATTTATTCGGTGAACAATTTGTTTGAGAGGTTCGGAAAGAAGAGTAGTGTAAGGTTATATTCTTTTAAAAAAAGGAAAACTTTTGAGACCAGCCAGACGGACAGTGTGGGACTAATGTATTGTATTATTCAGCTGCGGAACCTGCTATAACTGACCCAATTATTAATTTATTGATCGGGCAAAGAACCTCCTGGTCCTGTCACCTGTGGATGCAGAAGTAGCTCCACTCAGCAGCTCAATTTTATGGCATATTTATATCCATTTCTTCCTATTAAACCTCTGATCACCCCTACACTGTCAGGCAGGGATTGTTAACTTCCTGAGTGGTACGGTCATGCAGAAAGGTATTGAGAAACAACTGAACACCAGTCGTTTCGTCAACCACAGGCTTAGGAAAGAAGAGAGGCAGGGTGGGCAATGGGGTTTTATTTTGGAAAGAATTCTGCACAAACACCTGAAATAATCTGCCCAGTTCCGACTGAAGTGGAGTCCCCAGGAATCATCATTAAATATGCGACGAGATTTGTAATAACTGAAAATGTCAAACGGTGCAGTCCTGTTGAGCGGTGGTTGCTCAGGTGATAGGAGCTCCCGGTCATTGTCTGTTAATGTCAGGGCTCGAAGGGGACACTGAGCTTCGTGAGGTGTGAAATGTCATTGGGTGGGGCAGTCACAGCAACAGGAATGATGTGTCTTAATAACCTTCACACTAGGTTGATGTGTTTTGAAATATAAAGGGGAATTTTGTTCCTCACGCTCGCTTGCTCTCTCTCTCTCTCGAATCTTTCCCCCTTTCCTGTCAGTGGCACTAAGAAGCTACGACTCTATAGGACCCTCAGTACCTCCCTCAAAGGTCTGTTCGTCGGATGGGAGCCTGGGCTGGGCACGAAGGCAGGGCGGGGCAACGTGGCAATGCCAAGCCCGATCTTGTCCTAACCCCATGTCCACCCACGCTCTCAGCAAACACGACTAGATAAGAGATGAGCAGAAAGAATAAGATCTGGATCCCAGGGCACTGAAGCCAACTGTGTGCCTCACCATGCTCAGAGTGATTCACTCCCTCCCACCCTACCACGCATGTCACTGACTGATAACTCTTCCACCCCACAACCCGACCACACTAATGGTACTCACACCCTTGGCTGGGAATAACCACCTCACACTACACGGCCCATTTTTAATCAGAGGTCACAATCCTGAACACTGCAAGTGTCTGGGGAATTTTAGGTTTAAAAAATTCTTTCATCAACCAAAGGCTTGGGAAAGAAAGACTGGCATCTTCGCCCTCCCCCCTCCCTCCCCAAACAAACTCATTCAATGTAAATTCATCACATTGTAATTCATTGCAGCACATTTAATAAGGGAACTATAAATAGAATCTAGACAGTGATCACAAGAAAGCTTCTAAATGTCAATTCAAAATTGGTAACCGAGAGGATATTGGGGATGGAGGGGACTGGTGGGAGGATGGCGGAGAATGGAGAGGCAACAGCAAATGGAATGCAATTTGTATTCTTTTTTAAGCCAGCGTTCATACTCACCCGATTTATCAGTTGCTCTCCCGTCTCAGAAGCAGTGATAAGTTTGCAGAGAGCCTGGAGTGCAGCGTGAGGCAAACCTGCGGCAAGAGTAAACAGTAATACATAAACACAGTCACACCAGCCCTGCTGCTCACTTCCATTCAACTCTCAGCTCTGTAAAGCCAGCTCCTCGGGGAGGTCATTGCACAGTCTCCTGTGGTTGGGGCAATAATAGTCTGAGCTCTGCACATTCCACAACGTAGCATCGTAATAATACTACTGATAATACTACCTCTAATATTATTAATAATAAGGCTGAACTTGATTTAGGACCTTATCACATTGTCAAAGAATCTCAAAATGCTCCACAGGAATTACTGTGTATTTTGTAAGCGAATGTGGCAACTAATTTGCGGACTTCAAAATTCATTACAATACCCCACAAGCCATGCAGCGAGTGAGCAGTTTTATTTGGGGTTGTTGGCCAGCACACAAGGAGAACTTCTCGTCTCAAATAGTGACACAGGATCTTTAACGTCCACTTGAACGGACAGACAGGACCTCGGTTTGACATCTCATCTCCCCGAGCACTGCACTGGAGTCAGCCTAGACTGTGTGCTCGAAGTCCTTCCTGCCAATAAGGCTTGAACCCACAATCTTAAATGATACATGACTTCCATGATAATCACAGAGATTACCAACCCTAGTTGGCAAGTTGCACAGTGGTCCATCTACGACTGTCCAGCCTATTATGTTTGGCTTTGTCTCGCACATTTTAGTTGCAAAATCAGAACCCCCAGATGTGCCCCCCAGGACCCAAATATCTTAATATTTAAGACTATGTAAAATCGTGAAAAAATTCCCAAAGTCAGTCCTAATTTGGAGAACTGACAAAAGGTCATCGACCTGAAATGTTAACTCACTTTCCGCTCTCCAGAGACGCTGCCTGACCTGCTGAGCGTTCCCAGTGACTTCTGTTTTTATTTCGGATTTCCAGCATCTGCAGTATTTTGTTTTCTGTTAATTTGTTTTAAGAAACACAAGCTGCCAAATCAGACCTGAATTATATTTTACCCAATTCCTTACAATCTCAAATGGTGAGGCAAATGGTCTTTCCGAGCAAGACAGGGTGGAATTTCATGTCCCAGAAGATGTATTAAACATGTATTTCTAATATAAATATTATCACCGGTATAAACCTTGTGCTCGTTGGGTCTCTGTGACTGACGCATGGAACTCAGTGTGTCATTTATACTGTGATCCCGACAGAATTCTGTTCAGCTGAAAAATATCAAGCTGATTTCACAAATGTCAAACGTATTCCGAAGTTCTTTTTAAAAGCATCGAGGGAGGGGGCGTGAGCTGTGAGCAGTCTCTTTAATACATCTGACTACACTGCCCCTTCCCAGACACCTCAGGTGTCTCACGCTATTATTAGTTTGATAGCGCTGGCAGGATAAAGATGTCCAAACCACAGGAGGAAGAACATTACTTGGGTATATTGTCTCCCTTTTTTTTTCCACAACAGAACTGCTGTGTGACATTGGCTGCCGCGTTTCTCCCACGAAGTATACAGTCAATTCACTTTACAGTATGTTCTGTGAAGCGCTTTGAGATGTCTCGAAGATGTGACAAGGCGCTGTATCAAATTGCAAGGATTATTATTATTATAATTCAAGTTGCTTAGCGCCGACTTTCTGCAGCTCTGAGCAGTGTTGTTCCTTTATTTAGTGTGGCACAGTTCCTTCAACTGTATCTATTTAAGGCTTATTTAGTGCAACCTATTTGAAGCCACACGAGCTGCTTTTTACACTGATTCTTTGGCGCCAAAGAGCAGCGTGAGATTTATATCATGTTGTTGCCCAAGTGTTTAAAACGTCGTTAAATCTGTTAATCTCTCACACAAACATTCACTGATGTTGCAATAGTTGGGAGCGTGGTTTAAGTCTGAGTTCCTGATGTTGTACATCCGGTGAATCGGATCCTTCAAATTCAGTGCCGTTTAAACTGACGGCTTTTGTAAGATGCTGTGACGAGGCATCTCCAGCTACTTCATCTGGTGGAAATATTTTCTTTTTCCTTCACGTATTGTGCAATAACACCGGTGATATATTGCATGGCACTGTGTCAGGAATAGCCTTCATGTTTATAACAGAACTATTGGCACATATTGCTAAAATGTGAGCAAATTGCTGTAACAAGGGAAGTGAACATTGCCAGGCAGTTAGCCCTGGAGCCCTGGGCACACACTTTCACACTTGGCTCAAAAGCTACAGTGACAGACGCCTGAGAAGAGAACAGGTCAACCTCCTTCTTCCCCCTATAATAAAGTCCTGCACTGGAAGAGAAAGAATAAGAATAATAATCCTTACGTTTGATACAGCGCCTTATCACAACTTCGAGACGTCTCAAAGCGCTTCACAGAATATACTGTAAAGTGAATTGACTGTATATTTTGTGGGCGAAACGCGGCAGCCAATGTCGCACAGCAGCGTCCCCACAGACAGTCATAAAAGATGCAAGTCTTGACACAGACTTTGAAAGTGGGAAGGTTTAGGACCCCAGAGATCAGTAGATTGGCCTGATAGGTATCAGATTAAATTGAATGCAGAATAGTGTCAGGTGATAGAGGTTTTGAGAAGAAGAACAGAGAGGAAATGTACAATAAATGGTAAAAGGTTAAAAGGTGTGAAAGAGCAGCCAGATCTAGGGGTTACTGTACACAAACTATACATGGTTATAGGTAGGATGGGGGGTGGGGGGGGGGGAGGCGCAAGCCTTAAAAAAGCTAATGGGAATCGAAACAGAGGCAAAAAGTACAGCGGCAAAAAAAATGTTAACCTGGACATGTCATTTGTTAGGCTTTAGTTAGAATTATACTCAGTTCTGGGCTCCTCCGTTAGAAAGGTCAGAGAAAGCGTAGAGAAAATTTACTGGGATGATACCACTGATGAGTGCTTTTTACTTTACGAGGAGAAACTGGATAAACCGGGCTTAATAAATAATACTAATCCTTGCATTTGATACAGCGCTTTTCACGTCTTCTCGACGTCTCAAAGCGCTTCACAGAATAGACTGTCCAGTGAATTGACCGTATATTTGTGGGCGAAACGCGGCAGCAGCGTCCCCACAAACAGCCGTGGATTGAAAATGACCAATTTATTATTGTTTTGTTTTCCCAGGAGGGCAGAGAGGAGATCTGACAGAGGTTTACAGTACGTTGAAGGGGTTTCCGACCAGGTAAATGGGAAAAGGCTATGAGCACCGGTCAGTGAGTCGATAACTACAACAAGATTATATTTGTATAGCGCCCTTCACGTCGGGAGAACGTCCCAAGCCTCTGACTAAAGTGCTGAAAAGTAACATCTTTACAAAAAAAAACGACAAAGGGATAGGTTAGGAATTTTCTTTTACACTTAAAGAGGGTTAATCAGGAGGTGGGATGCCCTGTAAAACCAGTGTTTAAGCAGATTCCACAATAGCTTTTCAAAGGGATTTAGACAAATGGTAAGAATACAAAGGCTGTGGAGGGAGTGGAAGGTAACAGATCCCTCTTACAGAGAGGCGACACAGGCAAAATGATTGGGCTTCTTTCTTCTGTGCGGAATAATTCTATTATGATAATAAGCCTTGCCTTTGATACAGCGCCTTATCACATCTTCGCGACGTCTCAAAGCGCTTCACTGTGAAGTGTAGCGACTGCATATTTTGTGGGCGATTGTATTCGGCCGTTATCCCTCCTTCCTGCTCCTGGATAAACAGCGAGTCCGTACAGTGACACCGTGACTGAGCCTCACGGCTGCACAGACAGCGAACCGTACAGTCACGCAGTGGTCACGCTCATCCTTGTTACGTTCCCGTTTCCCCGTGGCTTCCCGGCTTACCTAGTAGCGACTGGAGCGTGGTGCTGCACTGCTGCAGTCGATCTCCGGGGTCCGAGACCGGGAAGAAGACGGCCGCTGGCAGGCCGCTGGCCGGAGGGTCGAGCCGGAATCCCACCGCGGTGAGGAGGGACTGCCAGCCGGGAACGCCACCCACCTTGTTCTCCACACTGTGCTGCGAGGTGTACATGGAGTTACGCTGGCCATTCTGAATCCGCTGCAACGATTTCTCCACCTGAGGAGGTGAAAAATAAGTCTGCGTTTGTCAATCAGCACGAGGCGTCGAGTTTCCACGCCACTCACAAGACCAGATTCTGTCGCAAATAATGACAACAATCCTTGCCTTTGATACAGCGCCTGATCACATCTTCGAGACGTCTCAAAAGCGCTTCGCAGAATACACCGTAAAGTGAATTGACTGTATATTTTGTGGGCAGAACGTGGCAGCCGATTGCGCACTGAGACGCCTCGGATTCTCGCTGCTAATTTCCAACACAATGGAAACACAGCAGATCTGACACAGCCAGCCTTAGCTGCGCTGTTAGTGGTACGGAGCCCCTGCTACTTCTTCACCGCAGGCAAAGAAGATCACCACAGATTTGCTCTCGCCCAGCTCCGCAAATACCGAGAGAGCTGCGGGGACCAAGACCTTGAAAGCCAGGATGCCAGTGTGGACGTGCTGGATGGTTTGAGCATGAGAGCACTTGTGCATGCAGGGGAAAAAAAAACACACGCAACAGGGGGCAAAATTATACTTTTAATTGGGAAAACAAATGGATGTGTGTGCATGCGTGCGTGAGGTGTGGGGCTGAGCAGTCTGCAGCTGCACATTCCTACTCTCCCGCAGACTGGCCCCATTTCCCAGGCTAGGGGCAGGCCAGGCCCAGACACAGACACAGGCACACGCAGACACGCACAGGACACAGCACCAGCAACACTGGGTCTCCCGCTGTGCTGTTGCTGCCTGTGGATGAGGGCTAGTCAGGTCATTGACAAACGAACACAACCAGCGGGACTGACACTACGATTTTTTCCCTTTCTTTACTTCTGCAATGCTTTATACACACCTGGATTTATAAACACCTGAATATCCCCCCGCACACCCCCCACCACTTGCATAGCCCACCCCACACCCCCCAGTACAGCCCCACTCACATATGCTCCCATGCGCAAGCATACTCCCCCCGCACAGCACCGCCCCCCACCCCTACCCACTGGGCTACAGACACTCACCAAGTGGAGGAGGACTCGCAGGGCATCTCGAGCCCGGTCGGGGTGCTGGAGGATCTCGGACAGCGCCTGCCCGATCAGAGACGAGGGGCTGTTCAATTTAATATCATTTCCAATCAGCGTAAAGCCTGAGTCAGAAGAGAGAGAAAGAGAAGAGAGAAGGGCTTTCACAACTCCGTCATTAAACCAACATAAAGGCTTTCATTGGGTTAACCCAATCTTACAGCTTTGAAATCATATTACAATGAAATAAAAGGCAATACGAGAGTGATATATCATGACTGTCGTACGCATTGCAGTACCTCTATAGGATGTCAGACATGTGAAATATCAGTCGCTTGCTGTCTCCTTCATCTGGTCCCAACAGAGCACTCACTCTCCCACTGCACAACATGACACTTCTCTCTCACTGCAGGCACACTTCCCAATTTGACCTTCATTTTCTTTCATATAAATACCGCGGATCTCTCTCTCTCGCTCTCTCTCTTTCGGTGCAACTCACTGTAAATCAGTTCTTCGAGCGTAGCTTCACTCTTTCTCTCTGAATGGAACCGTGGGCAATTTAGCACAAGGAAGAAGGCCATTCGGCTCATCGTGTCTGTGCCCTGCTCCCTCAAGAGCAATCCGTTCAGTCCCATTTACCTGGCTTGTTCCCCCGCATCCCACGTATCTGATTCTTTTGAAGGTATTTGTCTAGTTCACTCTTGAAGGCCAATATAGATTCTGCCTCAACCAATGCTCCCAGCAAGACATTCCATATCCTACTTCTCCTCCCCGTTTGCTTAAGCTCTGGGACGCTACCCTGTGCGAGGAGCAACTATATAAATTTGAGTAACCTTTAGTCTTTTTCCAAACCCCCCACCACCACACCCCGCCGGCTTTCTGACTGCTGTCCCTGACCTCCGTCCCTGGCCGCGCTCATGGTACACAATCGCATATCGCGGCGGTTACTCTGTGACGGACGGTACAAGTCGGACCTGCCCAGTTTGAAGGATGCGCGAACTGCTTGCTGCTCTGGACGATCCTCATGGCCTCTCCCAGCGCGGCGCTGGACTTCATCCCGTTGAGGAGCGAGGAGTAGAAGGTGTGCACGAACATCTTGGAGGCGGCCACGGGCACCGGCCAGAGGGAGACCAGGACGCAGTGAGCACCGGCTGCCAGGAAAGCCCGGGTCAGGCCCACGATACCGTCCGCCGTCACCTTGTTGTTCGACTCCTGGTAGGAGCCCAGGACCACCAGCTTGATGGGGAGCCGCAGGTCCAGAATGTCCGCGGCCGTCAGAAAGAACTCCTGCAGAGACGGACTGTCGGCAATGCTCTCCACGTCGCTGGCGTCATCCTGCATCCGCAGCGACTCCGGGATGCTGTAGTTGTTCCCCAGAGAGCTCTTCCCGCCGAGGCCGTTTCCGTCGCTGTTCGGCGACAGGACCAAGGCAGCCAGTTTCCAGGAGATGTGGGTGGCGAAATGCACGCATTCAGCCTGGGTGAGGATGTTCATCACTCGCTCCTTGGTCGCGCTGCTGCTGACGAGGGCTTGACAGCCCAGGAGCTCGGACACCATGTAGGCCTCCTCCTCAGCCGACGGCATGGGCCCCCACAGCCACCGGTCCATCACTGCTGACGGGAGTTTGGGATTCCCGATCACAGCCGCCATGGAGGTTGACGAGCTGCTCGCCGACGGGCTCTTTCGGAGATGGGACTGCGCAAAAGACGGGACATCGGTTTACGTTACACTCCCCGGTATTCCTTGCGTTCGAGGACACCGCTTCATCATGTCATTGGGACGTCTCAAAAGTGCTTCGCAGGATTTTGAAGTGTCGTGACTGTGTGTGCGCGTGTGCGTGTGCGTCATGGCTGTTCTGGGTGGGGTCGCACTGTGTTGTCAGAGATGCCTTCCTTTGGTTGAAATGTTCGACCGAGGTCTCATCTGCCTGCTCTCCCGACGCAAGTTAAAGAATCGGTAATCACTACACTTGACGGCAATTACCTTGTGAAGTGCTTTGAGACATTCTCAACATCACAAGCATTGTATCAACTACTTGGGAGTATTTTCTCGTGACTTATCACATTGAAAAATATCTCAAGTTACTGTTAATTGTAGCCAATTACAGGACCCTCCACAAGACTTTCTTTTTACTGGAGAGCGCTGTGAGGGAGGAGAGGGGAAGATAGCAAGTCTGATTGTCACTAAATAAAGGCAGCTGTGAAATTCAAGGTTATAGTCAATGAGTCAATTTTCTAAAAAAATAAATGAATTGGTCACTCAATCAACGACTGTTTGTGGGACGCCGCTGTGCGCAATCGGCTGCCGCATTTCGCCCACAAAATATACGGTCAATTCACTTTACAGTATATTCTGTGAAGCCCTTTGAGACGTCTCGAAGATGTGGTGAGGCGCTGTATCAAACGCAAGGATTATTTTTATGAGCATTCAGTGGCGATCTTTACAAAGTGTTACGAGTTACAAAGCCTTTCTGCAGTTAACAAAAGGCAATAGACGTCTGAAATAAAAACAGAAGTCGCTGGGAACCCTCAGCAGGTCAGGCAGGAAAGTGAGTTAATGTTTCAGGTTCTGACGAAAGGTCCTCGACCTGAAACGTTAACTAACTCACTCTCCTCTCTCCGCAGAAGCGTTCTGAAACAAGTCCGATTTGAACGTGTGCCTTGTAAAAGAGACTTAAGAGTGCAAGTGTCCCTACCTTGGGACTGGCTTGAAGAGACCTGATGGAAGGAACGGCGATTATACTGAACCTCTCGTACAGGTATTCATTGGAAGAGCTTCCTTTCAGCAGAGCAAAGGGAATCAGGTACAGCTCTCCCTCCAACACCAACACGAGCTGCCGATGTCGGCCAACGGGGCCACTGGAATGCATCAGACCCTGTGGGATCAGATCAATCGCGTTACCCATTTTACGTTACGCATTACATCTAGTGTTATTAATTAGTCCAACCACTTTTTTTCCCTTCGGTTCGCCCATGACCCCTCTCAGCCCCAGTGAATTCAGTCACAGTTCCCACCCATCCACCCACCCATCCACCCACCCACCCCGCTGTCTTCAATTTCCAACTGAAGTGCTCCGAGATGCCACCCTGCATAAAGGACGCCCTATAAACACAAGTTGTTGTTGTTAGAGAGCGTTCAACACTGGATTGCAGTATTAGACATTACAAACAGGACGGGTTAGAGAGGGTTAAACACGACCAACAGTGTAGAGAGAGTCGGGGACCCTGTATACAGCATAAGTTGGAGAGGAACATTATCAATAGTGTTGGTTGAGAGGTTGAAACACTATAAAGTATATAGATAAATAGCCCACAGTTAGGGATCGAGAGTTTTAAACTTGAATTTGTCTGGTTAGGGGTCACCAAGATATTGCTCAAAGATTCCCTCTGACGTATTATTTGCTGGACAGTCGGTGTGTTTGCCCGGACCAGCCCCGCAAGCAGGAGAAACCTGTGACGAACTGGGACTCATACAATTCCTGCTGCTCTTTGTGCACAATCTCCCTCCTGACGCGCGAGAAGCCGATTTCATTTATTTTTGCAGCCAGCTGTTAAAAAATTGCACAACCCGGAGATCACAGAGCACGACATTGCTGCCGAACACGAAGGCTGTGCCTCCGAAACTCCTGCCAGAAACCCGCCACAAATCACCCGGGTGTGCGCGTTACAGGCTGCGACACCGGGGTCAGCAGCAATGACAAATGCACGCCCTGGGAGCTGAGCCTTTTCGGACGACTCGTCTCCCTCTTGACATATTGTTTACAAGTACCAACAATTCCTCTGCAGGGCTTTTTCTCCAGCGAGCGGCCACAGATGCCAGACTCGCAAGCTGCGTTGCTAAATTTACCATTGCGGCCACTCTGGGCTCCCTCCGCAAGCGCTCGGATGACACACAGCAGCATCTCACCAGAGGCATCTTGTCTACCAGAAACCAGTTTGTACACTCCAGTCTTGCTTTCCACCCGACAGCCAGAAGCAACGTACTGGTGTTTAATCCCTAAAACACACTGACATGTGCCTGCTAGATTTCCATGTGCATTAGAGGTCCCAAGAGTTTCACGTTTTCAATGATACTTTCGAGCCTGTAACCCATAAATAATATGATAAGGGCAATTTCTATTCCCAGACTGCTTTGAACTGCGTGATTCCTTTACACTGGAATACTCCCGGTGTATTTAATAACTATTATAAATTGAAATATAACGTTATTGTCTTTTCCCAGGGCTATTAGACATTTAACTATCCTCAAATATTGAGGAAGCAGCAAATCCTTCTGGCCGCAGCAGCAGTTTTTTTTCCCCCCTTTAAACACTGTCACAGATCACGAGCAGCGAGAGGAATGGATGGGTTTACGAGCCACCGATTGCAGACGCAGGCATTGTCCACGTCAGTTTGATGGTTGGGATATGGAACTGGGGTCACAGATCTATACATATCTATACTTTCTCCCTCCCTGTAGCAAAGGGTCACAGTATCAGTGGCTCCAGGTCAAGGAGCCACCGTGCAGAGGACCCAACCATCTCAACAACAGCTTGAATTTACATAGCGCCTCTCACACCCTCTCGGAGTGCTTAACAGTGCCGGAGTCAGGGGAAAGTGACTGTAGGCACGTTCGAAGAGGAAGATCTTCAAGCGGGGGAGAGGTGTGGGGGTGGGGGGGGGGGGGGGGGGAGACGGACAAGGCAAAGGGATTGAGGGAGAGAGCTCCACAGCTTCAGAGCGTGGTGGCTGAAAGCGTCTCATCCCATAACCGGTGGCGTCGATGTGGCAACACACCATCTGCTCAAGAGAAACTGGTGAAGCTCCCGAGAAGGGAGACTGAGAGGCAGGCCGCCTTGTGACTGTGACTGTGGAGAAGAGGGCAGCCCGGGGAAGTAAGTGGCAGCTCCCAATCCCGAACATGAAACCTTCCCCGGTGCTACAAGCAGCAGCATTAATCCCTCGAACCGCAGCACAGGACCTCCTCACGCAGCGAACATTCCTGCGGACTCACTGCCTTGCTTCCTTGACCTTGCAATCCGTCAGTGAGCGGAAGTAGTCAGGGTTTTCGATGGAAACCCAAACTACAAAGGCATTTAAAACTCGTGAGGAATATTTCAGTGATGAGGGAGAGGGGTGGGTGGTGGGGGGGGGGTGTGTGGAAATCTCCCCTCTCCTGTGCCCCCTAAAGACACACAGCTGGTGACCAATTGTCTTCATTTCTCTCTCTCGTAATCAGTTCTTGATATGCCTCGCGTCCTTGCTTGGGTTTATTTTGTCCTCATTTGAATATTCCTGCAGATGTCTCAATCACCAGTAAATTAGGAGGCGGTGGAGGCACTTGTCTGTCCTCTTAATATCAGCCGCCGCCATCTCCCTATTTTTAATACACTCAAGACTAATTTGCATTGGATGTTAGCCACATCCCATATTCAAACAACTCAATCTGTTTGTATTAATTATACAGGCAAATTTAAAACCAATATGCTCGGCTGACTCAAATTAGTGCCTCGTTTTGTTAATAGCACTCAGATGAGGTACAGCTTTCCCTGTCTCCTCGAGGAAGAGTCATTTTACTTGCAAATTTTTTTGACTTGAAAATAAAAGTTAATTCTATCAGAGCCTCTCATGCATGATATTGCCTGAGCTCGGAGCCTCGCTCAGGTAATATCTGTGGCTCATCTGTTTTCATTTACTAATAGCGCAGCTGGAGATGACACTTCTAAGATTAAGGCCGCACCAATCAAGGGAGCGGATTGCTCGGTCATTATTTTTTCTTTTTTTTTAAAAAACCAAACACGTCCCATGTATTGGGGCTTTTTAAAAAAATACAGTCAGCTCCCACGCACTGGAACACTTGTGGTAGAGCCAGCTAAATCTCTCTCTCTCTCTCTCTCTCTCTCTCTCCCTGTGGAATACGGACCTATTTTTCATCATCATCATCATCTAGCGTCCTCAGGAATGATACATTACAGTCTCCTCGACTTAAGTGTGCGTCACTTAAGAATATTCTTCACTTAAGTGTATAAACTTCCAAAAGCCTAAATCGCTTCCCCATTCATTTCTGTCCAATCCAATTGGGGTGAGTGGAGAAGCATTTGGAGGAGACAGGGGTTTTATTTTCTTCAGAAAGCATTAAACACTTAAGCAAACGAGCAGATCCATCCATTACCGTAATGCACTGCCACCATCTCCCACACAGGCAGGCGTTACATACTCTGCTCTCTGGGAGCCAGGAGGACTACCTTCCACCAAGAGCAACCGGTGAAGCTCGATGTGTAACTCACAAGTGACTAATCTGCCAGCAGCAAATGTCAGCCGGCTGAGTGATAATAAGCTCTGCCTGGGATTGCAGTTCAAGAGCAGTCCCACCCAGAGGATTATCGAGGTGAAGCTCGAGTGATTTCCAATCATTCTCTGATCGCTGAAACACACACACACACACCCCCAAACATTGTCATTCTGCATCTCATTGCCTTCTTATCTTTCCTCCCTTATTCTTCTGTTGTCTACGCTGATTCTTCCAGGGAGAAAAACTACCAGACTCACATGGGGGGGCTGTAACGGGGGTGGGAGGGGAGAAAGCGAGAACAGCCCCCGGGTTTCTATTCCAGTCGCAGCAAATGCCTTTACTAAAAATATACTTAACCATCGCATAAGGGAACGATGAGGGAGATAAAACGAGGTTTTACAGGTGCCGTACATTTGTATGGTGTTGCACTGCCCCCTGTGGGTGAATGGGGGTAAGGAATTTCTCGGCTCCACTTCTCACTGACCAGAAGCATTGGATTTCAGATGAAATAAAGAATTTTTACATCCGAAACACATGGGCCCGACCACATTCCCTGTCCAGGATCACAGGTGGCAAAGCCCGAGTGCAGGGAAAGGGTGTATTGGGAGAGGCGCTGTGGTGGGAGATGCACTGGACGTGTCGGTCACTCAACAACAACTTGCATTTACACAGCAACCCTTCACACAGGACAGGGTCTCCGAGTCTCAAAAGACAACATAACTGGCATGTCTTGCCCACGTGTCCCTTTCCCCCCCTTCCATGCTCACAAACACACCCAGACACAGGTATAAAACACCTACACACACGCGCACAAACGCGCACGCACACACACACACAAAGACTCACGCAGACTCGCTTACACACACGCAGGAAAAATGACAGGCCTGCAGGAACGCCAAACTAACTGTGGCCGCAGGGATCGGGGAAGAGGAAAAAAGCAGCTGAATAAAGATGACGGTCTAAAAGGAAAGTTGCCAGGCTCACAAACCAGAGGAATGTCTGATTTTGCTCTGCCCTGGGAGTAAAACGTAGCCATGGATGTGCAGCGCCCTTTGCTGGCTGATGGTTGACATGCAGTTGACTGGAAAACTAGTCACTTGCTGGTACAGTGACTGAAACACGGGACCCCAAAGACTTACGTTTCAGTTACCCTTCTATCTAAAAAAAAATCATCATTTCTTAAAAGAATTGTTGGACATTGCATTGGAATACCGTGACTTTTTGGTCGCCCTGTACAGTAAAGCCACACAAGCAAAACAGAAATCGAAAAGAACACTTTATTATTAAATGCAGCTTGAACATATTTCTCAATTTCACCTCCTAAATTCACCCGGGGATTCGGGGATGAACTGTTGCTCTTTCTAGCTGACACCTACAAACTGTGGGTTTGCACTGCCTGTTATAGCAAGCACAGGTTATAGCAAGCACACGTACATACACAAGCCAAATACGTGACAGTAACCCCACAGATCGCGTATGCCGATAAATTACTCTCATTAAATAGGAAAATTTCCAGATTCCCAGATCAATAACGTTACATCTCAAGTCACCATCGGGTCATCGCAAGGCATGCGGACGCGAGCACATGTTAGGTACGCAACAAACGCACACATACACATGAACACACAGTGGGTAACAGCTGTGTAAAATGTACAGACAGTGAACGACATTTCAATGTGTGCATTGAGTGAACACGTGTATCCAGCACACGCATTTGAGTGCAACCGGCACACACAGAGTGATGATGCAACACGCACAGCGAGCAAACATGTAGCTGGCACACACGCGCATACATACACACGCATATATGCACGCGCGCGCACACAGTGAATTAGTAGGCAACACACATGGCAAATTAAAACACATGCACTCGCTTGGGCAGCCACGCAACACATACACTGTGCTACCCACAGACACAGTCAGTGACTGTGAAACATGGGCTTAAAGTGAACGGCCATTTAATGTGCCACACGCAAAGGGCAGTAAATGTCACTCGCTCGTTTGACCAGATATCCTGCTGCCAATAGCTCCCAGCACACTCTCCGTATCAATTAACTTCCTTGACATTTCCCGTGATGGCTCTAGAACTCCATCCCCCAGTGCCTTCGCCGCTTCCTCCCTTTCCTCCTTCAAGGCCGGTCCCAAGACCTTTCTCTTTGACCGTGCCTTCAGCTCCCCTCTCGACACTCTACCCCCTCCTCGCTCCCTCCCTTCCCTCCCCTCACCCTGACCGTTTCCCCCCAATGCTCGGGTCCTGACCCAACTGTACAGCGCCTTGGGACGTCCTCCCGACGTGAAAGGCGCTCTATAAATGGAATCTTGTTCTTGTTGTTGTTTAATACTGGGGTTTCAAACAGAGGAGTCCTCAACGGAGTCAACAGGACGGGCCGCACACTGGGTAACACTGAGCAGGAAAGCTCCCCGAGGATCAGTTCAGGATAGTTTGCAATGTCACACTGGGACTTGGGACTCAGTCATTCTATCCGTCCAGCAGATTTGCTGCTAGGGTTGTGTGAAAAAATAAGTGAAAAACGCGAGAGAAAAAATAAACTCTTAAGAGAAAAATGTAGGCAGGGTCGATGACCTTCCTCTTCGACCGTGCCTAGCCCTCCCCCTGGCTCGGCATCGGGCTCCGCCACTGTTAAGAGCTCCGAGACGCCCGTCCGAGGTGACGGGCGTTATAATAAATGCAAGTTGTTATTGTTGAAGATGGGACGCGTGTTATTTTATCGTTATCAAAGGTGCTTCATTGACTTACCCCTTCCATGGGTGAAATGAGGAGGTCGTAGAGGGCACGGAGCGGCTGCTTGCTGGCCGAGCTCTGATTGCGGCTCAGAGATGAGGTGGAGTCCTGGAAGCTGGATGTATTGTTGCTGAACAGGCTGCTCATACTTTGGCTGCTCCTGAAAGCAACACAGGTGACAGTCGGCTAACAGTCCTGACCCAGCCGGGCCTTCCAGTGACGTGACTTTACCGTCGGAATCTAACCGCTATTCGCGCTGCATGGCGTCTCGGAGCACGCCAACCTTTCCCATGTGCGCACGGGCTGGGCACCACCATCCTCCACACCAGAAGAGGAGGATAAAAAAAAAAACCCAGAGACTCAAAGCAACAGAAAAAGAAAAAGGAGGTGAAAAGTAACGTTTCTGTGAGGTTTTTGCACTGGTATATGATGCACTATAATAATAATAATTCTTGCATTTGAAATAGCGCCTTATCGCATCTTCTGGAATATACTATCAAGTGAATTGACTGTACGTTTTGTGGGTGTATGTTGGTATATAATGAGGCCGGTATATAAATGAAGCTTTCTGTACAGCTGGAGAAACTGCAGGTGTCCACGTGGGGGCCAGTCATCCCTCCTGTCCCCAGCCATAAACCAACAAGGAAGAGCTCATGAGCGGCAATTTTCTGTAAGATTCTGTGATACTATGCACGTGTGTTTTGTGGGCAAAATGTGGCAGCCAGTCAGTTGCACACAGCAATGTCTCACAAACAGCCACGGAGTGAATAAGCCATTTTATATGGGGGTGGTGGGGGGTGGTATTATAGGCCAGGACTCCCTTCTTTTTTTTTCCCGAATAGTGCCATGGGATCAAAGCCCTTTGAGGCATCTTGCCCGACATAAGGCAAGGATTATGATAAGAGTGTTAAGGGACATGGAGAAAAAGTGGAAAAGGGGATTCAAAGCTGCGTTATGATCTAATAAAATGGTGGAATAGACACATCAGACTGAACAAAACAGGCTGCTTGTGTTCTTCCAACACAGGAGACAACCAACCACTCGTGCACTTAAAACAGGTGGTTGCTGTTACAAGCTGTTCTGTTACCACTCTCCCACTAGATGGTAATGTTGGATCAGGAAAAGAATCACGGTAACAGCGAAGGGTTAGATTCTCTTCAAATGACCCGGTAAAAGCAGCGAATAGTCACATAGGCAAGGAATGTTTTCAGCACAGACGATGGCCGTTTGATCCATCGTACCCGTGCCAACGCCACCTGATTTTCTGAAGCACTTCCTCGAAAAACTAATCCCGTTCTCCATCTCTTTCTCCAAACTGCTTGATATGTTTTGCTGCCCGGTGGAATGTATTCAAGTTTAAAATTGTGTCATCGATGTTATACGGGCGCCAACAGGGGGTGAGGTGGTGAACTGGATGTTTCCCCACTGCTCACGGGAGTCATTCTGCCTTCTTTTGTTTCAACAAAGAACAGTGAATAGCAATAAACAGCACCACAGTGTAGCCCCCTTTATACCAAGCTTCAGTATACTGTGGGTGAGGCTGCCTGCAATGTACACTTCCTACTGATAATGTACAGGTACGGAGGGCTTCCCCATGTCGCCCACTGATAAAACGCTGATATCTGTAGCCCCCCTACCACCATGTTGGACTAAGGTTGGACTGTATAAAGTACGGAAGCTCAGTAGCCAGTTGTAAACAGCAACAAGAGAATAATAATCCTTGCATTTAATATAGCGCCTTATCACGACTTCGAGACATCTCAAAGCGCTTCACAGAATGTACCTTGAAGTGAATTGACTGTGTATTTTTGGGGGGAACGAGGCAGGCAGTTGCGCACAGGAATTAGAAACTATTAACTCGCAGTTAACAGCAGTAAACAACAACAAGAGTAAATAAATCACAAAGAATAATCACTGGCAATGAAGCGCAGGCGACATAATCCCAGAGATTTAATACAAAGATTTCAAGAACATGCCAAAAAGTCCACTTTCCTGAAGCAATAAGTACCGTAAAATACAATAGGTAATGAATGCTTCTTTGGAATGAAATTAGGCTGTGATTTGCGAGGAAGGGCTGCTGTCTTAAAAGATAATAAATAATGTTTGCCTTTGATATATGGCCTACATTAAAACGTTTCCGTTCACAGGTAATTGTAAATGTAAATCTTATTCTATTGGAATTGTTGCCAAGTGCAGTGAGTGTTGTTGTACAGTAGGATGGTGCGAATGACGTATCATATTACATGATTATATATTATAATGATGTAGGTAGCAATGCTCTCGAGCAATCAATTGATCAGATGTGATTGGATTTAATGTCAAAATTTATTTGCTCTCATTGACTGACTGCAACCCGGTACATTTGGATAAAGTAGGAACCTTTTTGTTCCAGAAACTGCTCATCTCGATGTGATTAAATGGCGGAGAGGACATGGGAGCTCAGCCGAATCAGCCAGCTCCTTCTGACAAGCCCGTTGCCATTTCTCCTCTCCCCAATTTATTTCCTCTCCCAGGGGAACTCAGTAAGTGCAGGTAATACTTTCAAACTGACTGCCAACCGGGTGAGACTCCGGGTTATCAATCTAACATCATCAATTACATTACTAAACTCTGACCAGTTGCATTTTACTGCAGATATCAAAGCCACTGTCTAACCACTGTTACCCCCACTGTCTAATGACTGTCACGCTCAGCGTCTTGCCATCATATTAACACTTGTATTAACACTTCCCTCCCTAGGCCAGTGCCACAGTACCACAATTCCGAACCCACATCTCCCCCCCGTGCAATGTGTTGTCTAATCTAATGGTGACTGACATCTATGATAATAATCCTTGCATTTGATATAGCGCCTTATCACATCTTTGAGACGTCTCAAAGCGCTGCGCAGGGTACACTGTGGAGTGAATTGACTGTCTATTTTGTGGCCGAAACGCGGCAGCCAATTGGGCTCAGGTTATCAACCAGGGAAAATATTGTGGATCTCAGCCACAAAGACGTTTTGAATGTTCGCAAACCCAAAGCTGGGAGAGCAAGAGGCACTTTAGCTTTCTGCCAAGCCGTTGCCAAGACTGACTGTAACTCACCACTTGACATTGAGCGCTAGTCGATCACAACATGACAATGAAGCGGATGCTACTGTGCTGACAAGCCTGGGCAGTGTTGCTTTCTCCCTTGTTACTGAAGCCAGATGTTGACGGGAACCCATAAAATCCACAAATGTGCCAAACAGGCAGAGGGCAGAATGCCATTCAACATCTTCTTCAGCAAAACATTTGCAGCCGTGCTTTTAGCCTGGCCAAGTACAAGTCACGATTCTGCAGAAAGGCTTCAGACTGAGTAGCTTGTGTCTCGCAAGTCGATCTCTAATAATAATAATCCTTGCATTTGATAACAGCGCCTTATCACGTCTTCGAGACGTCTCAAAGCGATTCGCAGGATGTACTGTAAAGTGGATTGACTGTGTATTTTGGAAGGGATTATTACCTTATTATTAGCACCTCTGCTATCGAAGGCCCAGATCTGCGCCTTGTGCCGAACCTTACTGCTCTTAGTATAATACTGAAAACTCTTTAAAATAGGGAGTAGCTGGAAACGTTATTATCAGAGCGAACTGCACACGCACAACATCTCCCCAACTTCTGCACAATAAACTTGAGAGATCGTGTCTGGCGAAAATGAAATACAATGAAATAAATCCCACATGTAACCTCTTTGGATTCTAATGTTAGATACAAAATATTTACAAGAACTTCCTTTTGATCTGCCTCCAGCTTGGCACAGTCTATGTATTTATCAATTGGCAAATCTTTACCAGCATGAACAGCTGAGATGTCATGTTTCATTTGCAGCAAGGCCCTGGGTGCAGAGACTGGGGTCATATCAGAGAGTGTACCACGTGGACAGACACATTTACTTTACAGCTGGCTCAATTCCCAAGCCCTGGGCGTGTGTATGTGTAAATATCAGGTGAGGACACGATCAGTGTGAATTGTAGTGGCTCGACTGTCTCCTGACACTCACTGTCCAGCCGACCGCAGGAAGAATGGCTACCTGCACCAAGGTAACCAGCCTGTATCACGAGCACCCTGCTTGGAAATAATTTGGTCACTTCAATTCAAGATTGTTGCTGGGGCACCTGCTGTGTGCAATTGGCTGCCGCATTTTGCCCTCGCACTACACAGTCACTACACTTTACAGTAAATCCGGTGAAGGTCGTTGAGACAGAGTGATAAGGGGCTACGTCAAATGATTATTTATTATTAAATGCCACACGCTTTGTGTAAGCCGGTGGGAAAAGGGCAGGATGTGTAAAGCGGAGCTCAACCATCTTTCTTTCCACTCCTTATTCCCTTCCAGGTTTGTGGAAATGTCTAATGATTCACTCGGGCTGTTTCCCAGCTGGTCACAGCTCAGGCCTCAGTTCTGCGGCCAAGCCTGTCGTGCCTTTCACAGCCGAGCAAACAGCCATTTATCACGGTGGCAGTCAGGGAATGAAAAGCGAAGGAGGTTTCTGCCAGTGTCTGTTGCCAACAAACCAGACAGTCACTTGTGCCTGCGAGATCCCACAAACCGCATTGAGGTGAACCACCAATTAACTGGTTCACTCACCTCACTCGCTGTTTGTTGGGTTTTGCGGCCACAAGTGGCTGTCGGTTTTGCCTACAAATACTCCACAAGCACTCCAATTTTCAGTAGCTGCGAAGGTACTTTGAGACGTTTTAGATGTGATAAAAATGCAAGCTTATTTATTTCCTAACCAAAGAGTGAGGAGTAACTGATACTTTTGCGGGCGAACTTCACCCACAAAACATACAGTCGATTCACTTTGCGGTATATTCTGCGAAGCGCTCAGAGACGTCTCAAAGACGTGATCAGGCGCGATATCAAATGCAAGGATTATCACTATTATTAGAACTGTAGAATTCAGTGTGTTGCAAATAGGACTTTTCCTCAATCTCCTATTTGCAACACACAGAGCGTGTCTCCCCAGGGCGTGCGAAACCAACACAAGGTAATAACACCATCCCCTGGATCTAATATCGCAGCATCGCCCGTAAAGCCAGACATCACGTCCTATCCCTACCTGTTGAAGAGGTTATTCCGACTGACCATCCTGAGGAATCCCGTTGGATCAGTGACCGAGTTCAGCTTGTTGTTCATCTCCTCAAACTGCTGATCCAGCAGATCCCCGGCTTCACTCTCTGTCTCACTGTTAGAGCATATCCTGCTGTGGCAAGCAGATACAAACTACGTCAGCCAGCAACTCGTGGCCTGCACGGCGCTCACACGGACAGATTGCACAAAGACTGTGTGTGTGTATTTGTGCCTGTCCTGTGTGTACTTGCATCTAATTATTATTATTACTACTACAATCACTGCCATATCCAAGCTATTCTGACACTCTGGCTCCATCTAATGAATGCAAATCTGCTTTTCTCTTTCTCTCTCTCTCACTCTGCAATAACATGCAACGATATTTCCCTGGATACAGCATTAATTAAACTAGTATTAAAAATAATCCTCAACAACAATTTACATGTATACAATGCCTTTCACGTTAGAGGACACCACTAAGTGCTTTACGTAACTGAATGGGAATCTGGGCTGCGAGGGGATGGGAAAAGGTGGCCGAAAGTGCAGTCTAAAGGAATTAATATCTCAGTTTGTGAACTGCTTGTTTCGAGCCAGCCTGAGCTTGTCAATTGGATGTATGAGAATTCAGTACATTCCACAGATACTCGAGATGAACGTTCCTGGTGCCGCTGAAAGTTTATAGCTCCTTTGATACAGTTATCAATATAATAACCTTTGCATTTGATATTGCGCCTTTCGTGTAAGGAGGACGTCTCAGAGACCTTTTACAGGATATACTGTAAGGTGTAGTGACTGTATAACGCAGCAGCACAGCAATGTCCCACGGACAGTCTCCCCCAAAAGGCTTTGGATGCTGGATCCATTCACATCTTCAAGACTGAGGTGGATAGCTATTTGTGAGGTCAGGGTGTAAAGGGATATGAGGCAAGGGCGGGTAATTGGACTTGAGTAAGATGAGAAAGATGAGTCTTGTCGCAGGCTAAAGTGAGCCCAGAGTGTGGAATATGTACCTTTCTCAAATGCGTGCTAATTGTTTATAATGACGCACTGAACCAAGCGCAGGAGGCTGGAGTACTCGAAGGATCTGCATTTATAACAGGACGGGAAAAGAGCCACAACGGCCTCGTAGAAAGATGACTCGCAGAGTCAAGAAAATGTGATGGAGACAAAGGCCGAACGGTGACGGGTCTTTCATTTGTGGCAGTCCAGCTGCTGATGTGGAAAGAGGCTTTTATGCTGTCACGTCTCACAGGGGTGAAGAAATGAAATGATCCTTATAATGCGCAGGATTAGGCTGCTCTTGATTCTGAAATGCATCCCTTTTGATTAACAGACCCCGCCTGCTCTTTTGAAGAATTCCATGGCCGACAACACAGAAAAAGTTAACTCCTCACGTGCGTTGCTTATTTGAGGTTAGTTTCTCGAATTAATGAGCTGCTCAGAGTCAGGTAGCGATCAACAGTCTCTGGCTCACGGGGTTCTGTCCTGCCGTAGGCAACTAAACATTTAGCGCAGTTCTAAATGTTCCTCTCAAATTTACCTCCTCTCCTGGATTGCAATTGATAAATTCGTTCGAAAATGAAATTTGGTAGATGCTTGAAGAGGAGGAATATTAAGGGGCACGTGGAGTGAAAGCAGGAAAGCAGGATTGATTAGAAGTCATTTCTAACGTGTCTTATTACATTGAAACCTCTCAAATGGACTTAAATTCCGGTCTGCATGACAAGCCTTTGGCCAGGCCAGGATTTCCACCATTTGAAGCACAGCTGCTGAAGGTGCCATGCAAACTGCCAAGCGGAATTTCAATCCAGAAGTGCTTTGGGGTTAATTACTGTCATAAACAGTGACTGCTTTTTGTTGGCAAACACGACAGCTATTTTGTGCATAAAATGGTCCCGCAAACAGCCGTGTGGTTACTAACCATTTTATCTGAAAGACCATCGGTCGGGACATCGGGAGAAACTCCCTTTCCAATAACTGTAATTTAATGTGGCCGATTAATTTTCCAACTTTCTCTCCATTGGCAGAAGTCTCTACTCCTGATCCCCAGCCTTGTATTGCTGGGGTCCAGTTCAACAGATGCTGATTATCCTCCTGTACTCCCTTGCACTCCCATTCTCCCTGTAACTCCGGAACTCTCAATGCCTCAATCCCTCCGCCTTGCCCCATCCCTCCCCACTTTGAATTCCTGCCAAAAGACCTTCTTTTTTGATTGTGCTTACGGACACCTCCCCGTCCCCCTCCTTCTGGCTCGGGGTCAGACTCCGCCACAGTCAAGCGCTCCAGGACCCTACCCCGCCTGAAGGGCGCTGGATAAGTTGTTATTGCAAGTTGTTATTGTATCAGCCTTGGGCAGGCCACTGACTGTCGAGGGCTTTGTAGCCGAGCCTGATCTCAATGCAAATCCTATCTTCTTTCTAAATGAATTAATTAGCCCACAGTAATGAAGTAATATTGAAACAAACCACCTCCTGATTGCTGCAACTCAACACTTGTCTCTGGGTAATTGAAGTGCAGTTTGCGAAGCTCAGTGTTGCCCTATATATTGAGGGGGAGAGTGGGAGCTGCCAGGCTTTAGATGGGGAAAGATACAAAGGATTAAGTCTAGTTGGCACTGGCAGGAGGACTCTGGAGCTCCAGCAGATTGGGTGACAGCATTTCGCAGTCGAAGTATTCATGTATATTTATTAGCTGTCGGAAGTCTGCAGTACAGTTTCTGAATCATATCAATGAACATGACATGGCTGCCACTTATCAGATTATCCCGAAAGCTCTGTACTGCACGCTGCTCTGCGAACTGTACACTTCATCATTCAGACGCTTGACTTACGGAAAGAAATTGTCCGTTTTTCCGCTTGTGAGCTGTCAGGCTTCACAGCTACACACTACACTCTCTGCATGCTAAGTTAGTGCTGGGGCCACACTCTGTGACAATGTACCTTAAGCCCCCTGCACTGGAACAGGTGACCGAGGGAACTGCTCACCTTGAAATCTAAGCAGCCCGAGGTGCTCTACTCTTGTCCCGAATGTGCTGGAAACCACAAGCTTTGCCACCAGTCAGCCCAAGAATGACGGGTGCCTTTCTGATTCAAAAGGAACCATTAAAGTTTATGGCTCAATCAGAGCCAAGTCCTCGCTCGCTTGTCAAGTCAACGGTGCATCAGACACCATCAGGTATAAATACTCCCAATCCTAACCAAATTGCTTATTAAAGTAAACTGAGATGTAGACCAAACATCAATGCTAACACGCACAAAGCTTCAGAAGCCATGAGGGGCCGATGAACAAGTCAGACAGAAACGTAAGATGACCGTTCAGCTTGTGCATCTCCCCTGTGATATCGTTCCATGTTCAGATGCACTCACCAATTCTGGCTCCCTGCCTTTGGCCCTTCATTCCCTATTGAATCAGGAATCAGTCCATTTTATACACTTGAGGCAATTTCAACTTAACCTCTACTGACTACTTTGGTCAGATCTCTGGAGAAGACACCTTACCGAGAGTCACAGGCAGTATTGAGACCATGGACTACTTCTTTGTCCATTTTGACATTATTGGAAAAGAGAAGGGACTTTTTCCAGGTGTCCTGACCAAATCATTTGCCAGATAAAATATATCCTTGTCATTCACTTCATGTTGTTTGTGGGATGCTCTGCATAAGTCGTCTGCCACGATTGCCCACAAAACATTCTGTCGCATCACTTTAAGCGAAAACTACATGAAGAGTTTTTGACACGATAAGATACATCAAATGCAAGGATTATATTGTATAAATAATATATATTAACACATGAGCACAGAGTGAATGCCCACGGGCAGTGTTTGTGGCATGGAAAGCATGTGGAACTTCACCCTTTACTGAAATGAAGTGTGAAAGTCAGATTGTTTGCATATATCATGCATCGTGTGCTCAGAGTGCTGCAGTTCACTGCTCTGCTTCACGACAGTAAGCGGATTTGATCATTTTCCCCTCAAGATTGAAGCAGCTGACGCTGTAGCCCCTGCAGCACTAGACATCAATGGGAAATAATCTTATTATTCCCAGTGTAATCCAGTTTACAAATGGATACTATCAACATAAAATGTCGAGGAAAAGCAAGATTACATTGACAGCAAAAGAATCCCAAGATGATTCGCATTATCTTTTATCCTCTAACCCAAGCTCCCTGATCTCTGCCTCTCTCTCAGACATTTCTACCCTGAATCTGTAAACCCTTGTAATGCCTCTAATTCTGTTAGTCATGGAGGGCAGTTGCTAAAGTAGATTAAGTATTGAGACACAAATTGGATTGATGCACTAGAGTCTTGTAATGTTTCTTTACAAGCCTCCTGGCATTCAGACCTAACAAGATAGGAATATATGAGCAGCCTAAGATGCCTGAGAGGTAACTCCATATGGAAGCATAATTTATTTCTTTAAACTTTTGGAGTGGGTTTCAGTGATAGGCAGCCAGACCCCAGCCTGCCTCGTATCAATCTGCCCACCGGTTGATATAAGCCCATCTGTTGCTAGCACTCAACCTGAAAAGACTACACAGAAATAAATGAATAACTCTCGCATAGTCCCATGTTCTAGTGTTTGCCGTGTTCGCCTACAAAATACAGTCATTAGACTTTATACCATATCCTGTGGCGTGTTTTGAGACGTCCAAGTTACATAAATACAAGTTGCTGTTCACGCAGGATAGCATCTCTGAGTGCTGGTCAGTGTAGTCTGCGGAGGGCCAGGCAGTGGGGGGGGGATCCAAGTCCCAAAGTAAAGCGTGAACCCAAAATCTTCTCATCCAGAGGCAAGACTGGTAGCAGAAGTTACAGATGAGCCAGGCTGAAAGCATGCTTGACCCTTCGCTGCCTGCATTCCATCGATGGTATATTGTGGTGATGTAGTAAGAATACTGATATTTTAATTGAATGCATTTGGTGCCTTACATTGCACAGCTCAGCCACCCCATGCGAAGAGCAACAAAGCCCAGTACCCATCCCTGCAGAAGAAGTGAATGATCAGATAATAATAATAATAAAAATAATAAGACTCAGGCAGTGGCTGAATAGGATTCCACTGCTAGTAGTGCAGCTGCCTGCCTGCCCTCTCATACATGAAGGAGGAACCATAACGGGAATATTAATCAGGGGAAAGGATGGAAGTTCTCTCACATAGGGAAACATAGCCTGGAAGTATCTGAAGATTGATCCAGGACCATTCTCACAAAGAAAGAGAGATGAGGAAGGGAGGTAATGTAGACCATAGTCCGACTTAACACTTGTAACCTGCTTTTCATCCACATGGCACATGTCCTTCCCAAGTGTGGTTTGGTTTATATTCCTCCTCAACCGTTTTCCTGACCCTGACCCTTGTGCTTATGAATCGAAGCAAACATGTCATGGTGACAGAGCTTTACCCAAGTGTTCTGCACTGCACATGTTTAAATAAATAGAAGAGGCAACATTCCATCCCCGTTCACTAAATCCACATGAAACGTAAAAATATATAACATCCTCTTAGTGAGACTTATTAGGATAGAATTAGCCTGTTAGTAGAGCTTCTGAATCACACAGACCTTTTGATAAACTGATCAGAATGTTTTGTTTCGTTCATAAGAGTTAATTGCAAGTGCTGGCTTAAAGAAAATGATAGAAATCAGCTAAAACATTTGAGATAGAAGTGATAAATCTGTAATGAGTGGAGGGCTGCAGGCAGATTGAAGTGGGAGCTGAGCTGTGCAGGTCTTGTGCAGGACCTAACCACAGGGTGATATCAATGGCACTTTCTTCTACCTTTTACCTTCATTTTAATCCTTCATTAACAAGTCCTGTAACAACTCAGTGGCCCTGGCCAGGGTTCCCGTTCCTGGGTGCAATGTGCATTACATAGTCATCAGATGCAGGCAGAGTTGGTAGGGAAATAAAAGGAAACAGATTGCAATAGATTGTGCAGAGATAATGAAATGGCAACGCTGTGTGGTGAAGCAGCAACTGCAGAGACCTGTCACTCACACGTTTTTTAATGAGCTCAAATGCAATCACACTGGAATGAATCGCAGTCTGCCTTGTCTGTAACATTCAATCTGCCCAGAAGAGGAAAAGCACAAGCGAAAACCTCACAAAGAGTGTCTAGACTAAGATAATTATTAAAGCGAAGTTGTACCTGGTGTAGTAGGATTCCACGCCAAGTGCCAATCGAACATTGGCTACGTGCTGCTCCAGTGTGGAGAAACTGGTGGCCTGCAGATTCATGCTGCTGGTTTCACTGAAATCACCGCTGCCTTCTGTCATATTATCACCCAAATAACACTCGTGAAACTTTAAAATTCCTGCAAGGAAATGGAGAGAGAGTGAGTGTTAGCGTGAACACCGGAAGGCGGATATTAGAGCTCCAATGTGACTGTCTCCGACACCTCAAAGTTTCAGAGCTCGAAATTTACACCAACCCTTTTATTCTAGTTGGGTGACAAAATGTCCACTTGAATTGGTTTGATTCTAGATAAGAGGCTGAAATTGTTTTTTTTCACACTGGATTAGCTCAAATGGTCCGAAAGGTCTTCTTCGCTTAAACCACTCGTGTTAATCATTTGCATTGCATTTTACCCCCTCCCCCCTCAGGCGCAACCTTTCGAAACCATCAGAATCAATATCAGTAGCCCTTTAAAAAAGGCGTCATCTCATTATTCAAACCATCTGCCCGTATTCAGGGTGGAAGGAGCACTTTCTGTTCAAAAGCACTCTACCTAAATATAGAGGAAATTATATTTGAGATGCTTTATAGAATATACTGCAGGGAGTCTTATTATTATTGACTGTGCATTTTGTGGGCGAAACACAGCAAACAATTGCATACAGCAATGTTCCACAAACAGCCATGGAGTCATTTTATTGGGGGGATTTTCTTGCCCAAGACACCAGGAGTAAACCTTCTTCTCTTTTTGAATAGTGCCACGGGATCTTTAACGTCCGCCTAGGCAGGCAGATGGGACCTTGGTTTAATGTCTCATCCGAAGGACGGCATCTACGGCGACACAACACACCCCACCCCCAGCACCGCATGGGAGTGTCAGCTCAGACTATGTGATTCCAAGTCCCGAAGTGGAGCTTGAGCCTGCGACCTTCTGACTCAGAGGCAACAGTGCTCCCACTGAGCCAGGCCGACACACGACAGCTGATGCCACTGAGCGATTTTAACAAAGGTCCGACCGTATTAAAGCATGTTATTGTAGTAGCTGATTCCAGTCTCGTGGTGGCGGTGTTCATACATGAAATGAGTCGCAGCACAATGCCAAAAAGTGATCTGGGTACCTCAACTAGACACACATCAAATCAGACCAATAATACCATTTGCATTTCATCCCACTGAATTGCCTGAAAACCATTTTCCACATGGGTTCTTTGAAGTGTCGTGACCGTCGGTATGTCAGGGCTCTGTTGTTTTTTTTTTGTCAGCTGCGTATCTGTCTGACACAGAGGGAATCCTATCATCACATTTAGGAGGATCCAAACCAGACTGATAGTTCCAATATGTCTGCCACCCACATAAGGAAATTTCCCCATGTCTGGAATGGAATATGCACTCTCTCCCTAAGGGAGGAGAGAGAGAGAGAAAGAGAGGAAGGATACTGTGTCAGAGATTACCTAACCATTTTATTGAGCTCTCATTTGTACCCCATCTGCCTTTCACAACTTTCCTCATACTCTTGAACACCTGGCAGAGCAGAACTTAGCCAATAAACCTTCCAGCTCCATGCACTTACTCGAACTGCCTGTAGATCTCTTATTCACAGCTTTACATTTCCAGAACTACTGAAATGATGACATTTCCATACAAACCATTTGAGGTTAAGTTACCGCAGGTTACATTTAGGTTAAACGGTCTGAAGAGAGGGTGACTTAATCTGCTACAACTAAAGGAACCTGATACAACAGTCATTTCCTACGTTCTGTGTGTTGATCTTGATAATGAGAACTGGATATAGAGGATGTTTTGGTTTCTTTTAAGAAAGATTTCCATTCACAGCTTCAACCAGAGGTGCTCTGCAGTGCAGTGTAACAAAGTAAGTGTATGCGTGGGAGATTCAAACACTGGCTTCAAAACACCAGACGTCAATTACTTGTCCATCAGGGAAGCCACTGAGCTGATTGTCTATGAGGTGGGAGGAAAAATAGAGAAGAAATTCCCACATTCCACCCACCCATCCCAGCTCCCGAGCACACACAGACACACACATGGGCCCCCGTTTCATGCGTGTCTCACAGGGGACAACAGAGTAGGGAGAGATAAAGACAGAAATAATAAAATAAAACCACATTAATAATGAGAAAATGCAGCATGACGAAAGCACTTAGAAACCAGGATCACTTACACACGGCACATTTTAGTGTTGAGGGAATCTTAAATCATTCATCTGAATATTAATTGAGGTTTTCAGGTTATAATCACCGCATCCTGCTCTCAATGAAGCAATTAAAGTTGGAGACGCTGAATAGTCATTTTATATAAATCAGTTCACGAACTATAATGTAAAGCAGTTTCTGGCGTGAAGTCTTTGGAGCAAAATTGATTCCCGCAACTTAAGAATGTCGCCTTACTTATTTTCTCATTAGGACAGGATTGAAGAACCCAGAGGCCTGCGTGATCTGTGGGAGAAGGGAGCACTTGACGTAGCGAGACTAGATCAGCAACCTCAGTGCGACACTCTGTTCCCCTCATTCTCCCCGAACACGCTGTATTCTAGTGGAACACGAGGACAGTTTGCAGCAAATGCTGGATATCGGGCAGTGTCTAAGCACTCGCATCTAATGCTGTTTGATCAGGGCACACAGCATACCCTCTGCTCTGCAAAGGAGGCAATTTAGGCGCTTGTGATTGCTTTGCAACTCATGGTGTGAGCAAAGCTGAGTGTTGTACTCAGACGTGTGTGTTGACGCCTATCAGGATCTCGGTTCATTTTGAACTCCGTCTCTTTCTGTTGCCGATCAAGAGAGAATACATTGAAATCCAGCAGGGAGTGGTATAGAAGGAGTGCAGCCAGGCACCATAGTGTCCACAACAGCAGCAACAGGGAATGCCCAAATCTGGACGACATACACACAGTCAGGGATACATAATGCACGAGAGACATTAACACATTAATGGCTTCAGTACCTGCTCCTGGTGCGAGAAGCCAGCTGTACAGGTACCCTGCTGCCAGCGAGTAATACAGCACCAGGCTGCGCTGGTTATTAACACTCTCCAGGATCTGGTCAACTGTGACCGGGCTGAATGAGTCAGACTCCTGGTGTCCAGTTTGCCGTTCTATCAAGAGGTCGGCAAATGCCCTGGTTCTTCCTCGCTCTGCTACAGCCAATGCCTCGTCGTGACGACCTACAATACAATACAAATTCAATACAAAATTACCTCTGTACAGCGCCTTTCACTCCAGGAGGATATCTCTAGGCACTGGACAAGTCAGGGATTTGACCTAAGCACAATTGACACAGCAATGCGTAATGTCAGGTAAAACATTGCCCTCGCTGTTACTCGGCTCAGTGAATGGAATTTACTCGGACTTTATTTTGACGAAGAAAACTAGATCTCGAGGCCAATACTGTCAAATATTAAGAGTATTCGCTAGTTCGTACATCAAGGTCAAAGCTTCAATATACCTGGTAACCAATTCCCTTTACGTTATTACCTTGTACGTGAACACAACACTTTATTCCCTTTCCCCCTCCACTGGAAATAAAGCCCTTTCTCCACTATTGGTGGCCGCGCTTTCAGCCACTACGCCTCGAAACTCTGGAACACTCTTCCTCTATCCCTCCGCCTTACCCCTTCCTTCCCCATCTTCAGGTTGCTCCTCCTATTCAACCGTGCCTACGGTCAGCTCTTCCTCTCCCCGGCTCGGAGTCGTGCTCCGCCACTGTCAAGCGCTCTGGGACGCAACCTTGCATGAGGGGCGCTGTGTAAATGCAAGTTGTTGTTGTTGCTGAAACTCCACTTACCAAGGCTGACCAGCACCCGCTGCAGAGCTTGATAGGAGCCTGTCTGCAGGTCAAATAGTGAGAGTTTGTAGTCGGTGCTGTGCTGTGCTTCGTGGCGGATAGTTTCAAACAGAGCAGATGATTTGTAAAGCTGAAAGCAACAGACAATGTTCTCGATGATTAGCCTGTATCTCATGACATCAGTAAACAACTTCCCAAGCCATCCCCTCAAGACAAATGGGGTTAAAGTCGAAATCTGTGACTCTCTTCACCCAAAAGGCTGTGGATGTTGGATCCATTCATATCTTCAGAGAGATATTTGTTAGGTCAGGGTATTAAGGGAAACGGAGCAAGAGTGGGTAATTGGACTTGAGGTACAGATCAGCCATGATCTTATAGAATGGCGAACAGGCTCAAAGGCCTACTCCTGTCTCTAAAGCACTGCCCGGTACTAAGAGTAAGCAGTGACGGCTAACACTTGGCCTCAGTGCTCCTGGGCTGGGGAAGAGAAACCAAATCCGCCACAATTACACATTGTAATTTAATTTCATCTGAATTTAATTTTATTAATATACAAAAGCTGAAAATTTCCAGAAAAATGAAATAAAGAAACTCTAAGTAGGTACGTTTCTAATATAGACAAGAGGACTCCAACAAACATTCCTGTGAGTGTCTGCTCTTGGACTGGGGGAACGGGGGGGATTGTAGTGGTACGAGGGGTGAGTACCTGGTGCTGCGATTCCTCCAGGTTGCTGCTGACCCACAGAGAGAGTCCAAGTCGATGTCTGATCTTAGCTTCATCTTCTCTGCGACCCAATTGTTCTGCCAGCCTCAGTCCTGAGCAAAAAAGACTTACGTCAGCGATGAGAAACTCTCAGACCATTAGAATATGCTTACATGGTGTGCGCATGTGTGTGTGTTAAGTGCATTGAGATGTCCTTCTGTCATGAAAGGGGCTATATATATATAAATTCTATTGTATTTTCGTATATCTATCTGTGTGTCTGTCTGTCTGTGTGTCACCTCTGATAATGCAGTACACTCCACAACACTGTACCGGAGCATCAGCCTTGACTATGTGAGTTCAAACTCTTGACGTGGGATTTGAACCCGTAACCTTCTCGATTAAGAGGCGAGAGTGTTATCAACTGAGCCAAAAGGGACATAGTTAGATGCTAAGGGTAGATAGTAAGGGTGCTAAGGCATATGTTGGCAAGGCATGGGGAGCAGGTTTGACAGGCTGAATGTTCTCCTTCTGTTACTCTCCTGCCTATAACCACATATCCTGCTGACACACTCCACAAAGGCTCTTACATAAATAACACTAATAATCCTTGCATTTGATACAGCGCCTTATCATATCATTGAGACGTCTCAAAGCGCTTCATAGGATATACTGTAAAGCGAATTGACTGTGTATTTTGGGGGCGAAAACGGTCAAGTGAGGGTCACCCAATGCCTCACGTCAACGTTGTTAGGAGGAAAGAAAATTCTCGATTTTAATATGAGTAATACACTTTGAGTGAATTCAATTGTGGAATATTTTACTAAATAATTGAAGGAAGATAGATACTGGCTGCTTTAAATAATTGAAGGGTATGGCGACCGGATTAAAAAAACAAAAGATTAATAATAGTTATTTTATTGACTGCGCTAAATAATTAAATAAACTCATTGGAGTTTTGAAAATTAAATAGGGGAAATTACTGGCGGCATTGATCAGTGTATGAGCTGTGCTGCTGTCAGCCAGCCATTCCCCTGACACAGTCTCATCCCACAGTCAATCTCTTTTGCTGGGTCTTAATGCACATCAACTGCTGCCTGTCATCCCACACCTCCGCGCAATCCCACTTGCCCCTCAGATAGCAAGCACTGCTATTCCATCCACTCCGCTATCTCTAAATTCCATGTGTAGTGTAGAGTTATCCAAGAGAGGAGATACTATTTCCTATGTAAATTCATGCAAGATCCAGATTACCACAATGTCCCTCCAGCCAACAATACAACAACTATATACACAGCAACATTATAGCACTGTGTTTGCCTTTCTTTTTCCCCCACTTTGAAAGTGAATCAAGCATGTTCCCCTAAGAAATCCCTAGGTGGCTTTTTTTCTGGGAGGGAGAGTTAGGAAGGGACATCTCAACCTCAATCTAATCTGCGCTGTGTCTGCAAAAGTGCTTCCAAATATTATTGGCAGTTTATGCAGCTTCCCTGACGGCGATTGTGCTGTGAAAGACGCAAGCATCCTCAGGGTCGGACGCTTTCAAGAGAGTTGTGGGGAAACAACAACAGCTCGCACTTATACAGTGCCCCTCACGTGGAGCATGTAACTAGAATGGCCACAGAATAACAGATCGCAGTGCACGCACCTTCCTGTAAATACATGACTGCCTGCGAGTAGTTCTGTAAGGCGTGATGGGTCCTCCCCAGGCTGCTATATGCCATGGTTTTGGCCACCAAGTCATTCATTTGGGCTGCAACGCTCAGGTGCTGTTCCTGGTACATCACAGCGCGCTCAAAGTTTCCCAGTGATTCATAGGTGAGCCCCAGGTTTCCGTAGGCACGGCCCTGGTACGTGGGGTTGTCTGTCTCCTCCGCTATCTCTAAATCCAGCTGGTGGTACTGCAGTGCTGTTTCGTATTCTCCCATCAGCTGGTAAACAGCACCGAGGCCACAGGCGGCGTCACTCTCCAGGATCCGCTTCTTCATCTCGCGGGCGATGTTCAGCTGACGTTCAAGACAAGATATGGCCTGCTCGTAGTTGCCCAGTTGGCTGTGTAAGCTGCCCAGCTCCCCGTACGCCTGAGCCTTGTTCGACGACTCTCCGAGCTCATGAGTCACCACCAGTCTCTTTTCAAAGCACACGAGGGCTTGCTGCAGGTTCCCCATTGCCCTGAGCAAACAACAGAAATCAGTTACCTCCGGCAAAGAAAACGTAAAGACCCATGTACGCAATCGCTCGGGAGTAACCGTGCAGGGATTAGAGCTTTTTGCCATCGTTTTCTGCTGTCATTTGTTTGATCAATTTCTGTCCTTTCCTGTGTTCTCTGTGAACCACATAATCTTTCCAGCTGAGAGGCAAATGAAGAATGCGTATGTAACAGAGGTGGGACGGAGGGAAAGAACAAATTAGAGGAAGAGATGGCACGAGTTTGGATTTTAAAACAGAGAGAGGAGGACAAGGAGAGTCATGTCACAGCACTATGATGGTGACTCCAATCACCCAGAGACAAAGATTGCTGACCAACAATAATAATAAGCCTTGCATTTGAAGATTGGCCAACGAAAGGCTCGTGCTTCTCATGGCTCCAATGAGTGCAGTGACTGGCATAACAGTGGGAAATACCGGGTTGAATCTTTATGCGATCAAAACCTGGGTCCTATGAAAAAGAACCAAGTGCAGTTTGAGTTCTCAGCCAAGTTGCAGCCCCTTTACCTTCGGGCGAGTCCTTTTACATAGAATTAAATCATTCAGCGATTAAATCACCACCGGTGAACATTGCCAGCATTCATTATGACCTTTCCTTTTCAAAACAATGATCTAGTTATACAGCTGGATATGAGAGTGCCACTTCACTCAGCGCTGTATCTGTCTGATCGTTTAGAAAATGCGAGTCACTGGCTTTTAAGGAGTGTGGTCGCAGTGACCCCGGCAGAATTTGTTCATTTTTTACAGGATCATAATTACTGCACTAAACAAATCAACTGACTCGGTGAGAAACGTATTAATTTCTCTCGAAATTGCTGAACCATGCCGCTGTGCAGTAACAAATAACCAGCGCAGAGCAGTATGATCGGCAAAAACTTTTCCGGCATCACTCACTCAAGTTACATGAGAGCTGTGTTGGTTGAAGGACAGTGACAGACAGGGCTGTGTTACCCCAGGATCAGTCACATAGTGACTGCAGTGTGTTGGTTCTGACCGAGTTAGGCGAGTATTAGGAGGGTAGTAATTGGTGTCCACGTCTGACTCAGTTTTGTAGCCACCGTAACCTTGGCAAGGAGCAACAAGTACCTTCACACCGAGAAACCATCCTTCAGCTGCCCTCCCCTACACCCAGGGTTGTGTGTTTGTGTGCTGCACCAAATGTCACCCTCTTCCCACTACCTCTGGCAAGGACGACAAGCCTGGAGGGGAAAAAGCAATCTCTCTGTGGAGTTTTACCTGAAATTGAGCAAAACCTTCCAGTCGCAAGCTAAATGTTAGATGATTTCACAAAATGGGCTGTCTGGGTGTAATAATCTGTGCCGTGTGGCCTCAGTACTGTAGATGGCAGAAGCATCTAACCTCCTGGCATTTTTAATACTTCTCCTCTCCCTCCAAGAGTTGGCATATGTCACAACATTCTACTTGGGAGATTTAATTGGAGCCTGAGGGGTAGCAGTACTGTAAGTATATAAATACAAAGCACTAACTACGGTATAATAGGATATAAAACTCGATTAGGCCTCCTTTGATCTAACACCACAGTTACTGCATTTAGGTGATTAGTGCAAACTCTTATTACAGAGGATTTTTCATCTGAATTAATTCAGTTCTGCAGATGGCCTGTAAATAACAGGCTCTGGAGCCAGTACGTGTTACTCAGGATCTCTCGCAAACCTCACAAGTTGTTTCTTGTTCAGTGTCAACAGTCAAGTCTGTTTGGTGTGTGTGGCGGAGGAATGGATGGAAAGGAGAGAGGAACACACACACCACACACACACACACACACACACAGTCATACACTCTCACAAAAGCCCACACACAGTGAAATATAAGCAATGACGTGTTCACACAGAAATATATAGATACACACACACACATAGATACACACATACACACCCACATACAGTCTCAATCATACATGCACACACACAACCTACTGAGCTCAGCTCAATAGGTCAACCCTTACCGATGCCCATTTCCGAGTCCCCGATAGGCCTTGGCTTGTTCCTGAATCCGATTCAAACTCTGAGCCACAGCTAAATACTGTTCATGGTATTTCACAGCTTCCTCATAATCGCCCAGCGCTTCGTAGCAGTCCCCGAGATTGCCATAAGCCCGGCCTCGGTCTAACATGGCATCGTTGCCACTCAACTGCTGCAGTGTTGCTAGCTGCTGCTCAAAGTAACCAATGGCATCCTCCATGATATTCATGTTCATTTTTGTGATCCCCATGTTGCCATAAACTTGTGCCTCAATATTCGGATCTTTTAGCTTATGCCCTAAATCCAACTGTTCTTCGTAACATTTGAAGGCCATGGTGTATTTACCGAGGGACATGTAGACAGCAGCAAGGTGTCCGTGTGCTTTGCATTCTCCAGACAATTCACCGAGCTCTTGGTAAACCTCCAGTTCCTGTGTGTGATATCCAAGCGCTTTGTCATATTTCTGTATCAGTCTGTAGGCAGTGCCCAGGGCTGCGTACGCACTGGCTTCCAGCTTGCGGTCTTTGGCCTGATGTGCCAAGGCCAACTGCTGCTCGTAGAATTTAACAGCGCCAGTTACATCTTTCTTGCACACAAAAATGTCCCCAAGGTTGCCTAGAGCTCTGAATTTGGCCCGTGCATTGTTCAAGGACTGGGCTAGAGAGAGGAGATACTTCTGACATTCTTCTGCTTTAATGTAGTTGCCAAGGGCCTTAAATGCAAGGCCCAAGTTGCAGTAGGCCTTGGCTTGGCTTAACTTATCATGCAAATCCTTGGCTAGGGCGAGATCTTGTTCATAGTACTTCACAGCCTCTTGGTAACTTCCAAGACAGTAATGGGCATAGCCGAGGTTATGACACACTTTCCCTTCGCCCTCCATATCTTGTAGGTCGGGTGATAAACGCAGGTATTGTTCGTAGTATGGAACAGCCTGAACGTACTCTCCCCTAGAACAGTGGAAGTTACCGAGGTTGCTGAGTGCCCGAGCCTCACTTTGTACATCCCGCAGCTCTCGTGCTATGTTCAGGTGGTTCTGGTAGTGCTGCAAGGCCCTGTCATGGGCACCGAGTGCCTGATAGGCCACAGCTAAGTTGCCGTGGGTCGATGCTTGAGATGCTCGATCATTTACCTCCATTGAGATCTGTAGCTCTTGGCGATGGTACTTTACAGCTTGGTCATACATGCCCAGGGCATTGTAAGCATTGCCCATGTTCCCGTAGGCTCTTCCCTGTGCAGCATAATCATTGAGTTCCTGGGCAATAGAGAGGTGCGTCTTATTCAGTTTCAGTGCAGTATCATAGTCTCCTTTCATCTGCTGAATTATGCCTGATGAAGACAAACATCACAAAAGAGAGGGATTAGATTCTAATGAACTTCACGAGGAGGGATAGTTACGACATGATTGAGTTACTCGTCCACACACGGTTCAATACAGTCTGGAAGACCTCAATCCAAATCTCCTATCCAAGAATTCATGATACTCAGTTATGCCTGGCCTATTCAGGTGCTCCATTATCTTTCAAAATTACCACCACAAATGGAATTATTTAGGAAAGGATGTTATTCCACTTTCAATTGGTCGCAAAGCTTTAATGTACATCCAGACATTCAAGGTAAAGGATAGAATTCTCGATTTATGAAGTTGAATCCCACCACAATCCATCACGTAACCTCCTACACAAGTTACCATTTGTGCTTCCATCAGGCAAGTAGAGATTCAATATAACACAGAATTACATTTTCACATCGGGAGGACTTCCCATCCAGATATATTGCCAGATTTGGAAAAAAAGGAACATTAAGGGTATGGAGAGTGAAAAGAGAGGGGACTTTGATTAGATTAGGTGGCTTACATGGGGAAAAACATCAACACAGACTTTCAGCGCTTTGGGAAGTCCTCCCGACGTGAAAGGCGCTCTCTAAATGTAATTTTGTTGTTGTTGGTGTTGTTGATGAATCAAAAGATCCCTTTCTGTGCGTGACTGTATAGGACAATCCGGGGTATATAGTCACAGCAATATCCTGCACTTACAGATAAAGTCTTACTGTAAAATAAAACTGAATTTCAGTGCAGCAGTTTATACATACTTTTTTGTGGCTGTTGTATATAATATGCTAGTATAATATACATATTAATATATATATAAATATAAAACATGCCATTGATTGTAACCCAGGTGCTAGGCTCCTGTCATGGTGATTACATTCCTCTCAGATTTACTAAAATTTTCTTGATGTTGATATGGATTGCACTGAACAATATTTCATTCACTGAGCTGCAACCACCACACTCCTCATGTATTATACAGACAGTTCAGTAATCAACTTGCTCGCTGTAGGCAAACCTAACAGCTCATTTATTATAAATGCAATAAGGCAAATAAGATAAATAAGTCACACTCACGCATGCACAGCCTCAGCGCTCTACTACATGCTAACTCCTACACACTGACCATGTCGGTACAGGTACAGGTGGCTTGGTGACAAGGTTGATAAGAGAGCACATGTAGTTTCCAGCAGTAAATAAACAGAACACAAAGTCTCAAAAACGGACACGAATGCAATCGGTTTACGTTGAGCGAGTGCTAGGACAGTTGTGTCAAGCCCGCTGAGCGACAGAATGCTGCCTTGCATTGTAAAGGCGCCGTGGTCCTTTTGTGTATAAATAAATAAAGTCACTGTACTTTACACTAAATCTCGCGAAGCTCTTTCAGGAACATAATAAGACACTATATCAAATGTAAGGATTATTATTATAATTACGGGGATGGGGGGAGTACGGCTTATTAGCATTATTGTACTTGCATTGCCTGGTACGTTATTGTACCTCACATTGTAAAGCACAATACACCAGAATCAGTGAGTCATAATGACAGGGGGTGTTACCTGACACAGTAAAGGGGTACAGTGTTTGGGGACCTGCCTGTCCTCCACAGTAGAACTTATGAGACTATTAGGACCGACAGCAGCTGTAATTAAGGAGTGACGGAGGGCCAGACGGTATCTCTGTGTGGGATTTGTCCGTAGAGAGTTCAGTGCACTAGGCAGAGGGGAACATAAGTGCTTGTCATGTTTGTGGGAAGAAATTGGGAACGAGGAACACGGCACATTAAGCAGATCCTGTATGTGGAGCTGCTGTATTTTACTCACAATATTTTGGAATTCAGTCTTCGACTCTTAAGGAGCGTTTTGAGTGTTACGTCACACAAATATAAGCGGAAAAGAATAGATCACGTTGCCGATATGAAAATAATGTTTTATTACTATTCGCACAGCAACTGACCCCGAGTATCACACGCCAATTCAAATAATTCCCGAGAGAAAATATAGCCTATTCTTGCACAGAGAGCTACAGTACAGTTCACTCATGCCTACAGAGGAGAAAAATGAACAGAGGTAGGTACAAAAATAATCCTTGTATTTGGTATAATGCCACAAAGCATTTTAAAACGTTTCTATGAAGTGTAATGACTGTGTGTTTTGTGGGTGAACAAAGCAGCCTATTAGCACAGCAACAATGACTCACAAACAGCCATGAAGTGAGTAACCGATTCTATTTGTCAGGACATCAAGAGAATCTTTTTCAATAGCTTTGTGGGATCTTTAATGACAACCTTAACAGACGGACAGGACCGAATTCTGACAATGCAGCACACCACCCCCCACTGCCACTGAAGTGTCAGACTAGGTGATGAGGTCAAAGACCCAACAAAGGACGGAAACCCACACACAACCTTCTTGACCCGCAGACAACTAAGCCTGGCTGACACTTCTAGCTCAACCTGGAAGGGTCCCAGCCCTCTTGGAAGGAGGGGACGAGGTTGCTCAGCAAGTCTTAATCACCCTGTAGATCAGAGCAACTCAACACAGCTGCTCCCCTGCTATCATAGAATCATAGAATCATACAGCACCGAAGGAGGCCATTCGGCCCATTGTGTCTGTGCCGGCTCTTTCAAAAGAGCTGTCCGGATCAATCCCACTCCCCTGCTCTCTCCACAAAGCCCCGCAAACTTGTCCTCCCCAAATAATTATCTATGGTGGGTGCTCACCTATTCAGATTACAGTATAGCAGTCGAAAATGAGACATGCACAAGACCAAACACAAGTTGTGAGTCTTTGTGATATAGACAGAGAGGCTGACGGTGTTTATCTAATGCAACACCACATGAATCAGGATCAGAATTTAACCACTGAACACTGAAAATCTCCAAAAGTTGGATCTGAGCCAATACAATACCTGTCACGAATGACTTGTTGCCCTTTATCCAGCGTTTATGCCAATGGTGATATTGTACAGCCCTGGAGGTTTAAAGGGGAAGTCTAGTTTAATTTAAATCATAAGCAGAGTTGAATTCCTAGTGTCACAGGGGGCACCTCCCTTTGGACAGTAACATTAAGTTCCCTTGTGAGTTTGCTCTCTCCCCGTTTCTAGAGTGTACAACCGGAAACTGTACACTTTCCACAACAACCTCACTACGCAGGCCTGTCTCTCTGTTTTCCTCCAGCCCACTAAATGTTTCTGTCACTGGAATAAAAGCTTTTGTAGTTAAACATAGAAATCTCGACCTTGAGACAATACATCACTCACTGGCACTTCCCACGCAGATGGCCTCAGTGCAGTAAATAACATTGGGCAGTGCTCGCTCGGTCAGCCACTGGGGGGAATTCACTTCGCAGGAATTTATTCATTTTCTCTCCACAACAGGGAACATATCACTCACCGGCGCGCTAACCTCAGAACATTCAAATCTATAATATTGTCATAATATACTTTGCATTCGCTATAGCGCTGCATCACGTCTTCCGAGACGTCTCAAAGCGCTTCACAGGGTATACTGCAAAGTGAATTGACTGTATATTTTGTGGGCGAAACGCGGCAGCCGGTTGCGCACAGTTTATTTATCGATCTAGATTTTTAAAATCTAAGCCATTAAATAACTAAAACGAGTTTGAAAGCAGGAAAACGACCACTGTGCTAATGATTACCCACCACGCAGTGGACTGCAGCTTTAAGGATCCCTCGCTCTCTGTGAACTCTGTGATGGTTTTGTATATTTATTTATTCTGAGGCCTAGTTGGATTAAGCTAATCAGTAATACAGCTTTAAACTAAAGGAGGCAAATTACAGTATTTAAAAAAAAACTGAATCTTGGCACATCTCTTTAAATGTGACCCCGCTCCGATGATTTACAGCAGCAATCTCCGCTGCCTATGATCTGAGGTCTGCCTTAGCTGGGGGAGTCAAAGTCAAGTCATCTTTTATATGGATAGTACAGTAGGTATGTGATGGTACATGCTTAGGGGGGCCTCCGTAATACAGTCAGTGTTGGACAGCTGCTATCAATTTAGCAGCCTCTCCACCACATCACAGTCCCATTTTCAAGTTGCTGGAAATATGAGCTGCCCAGGTCCCTGTTTATCCCCTGGCCATGCTGATTTTACTATTCCGTCTTTAATTTTCCAAAAAGCAGGAAGAAATATGAGCTCTTTTGTAAAAAAAAAAAAAAAAATTGCCGAATATCTCTCTCCAGGCTCACAACCATTTAACTGCTGAATGTTACAGCTCGAAATCCCGCAGAAAGCGAGCAGCAGTTTCACAGAAAGGAACCCAAACAGGCAACACACCACTGGGATCCACAGGCAGTACTGTGCAAACCTCTCGTGCGTGAAATAAATTGGGTCTATTCCATTGTTTCCAGCCTGCTATGTACACACCGCCATTTTACCTTCAATACGTTCACATTGATCACACAAGTGCGGACCGACGAAGGGCATGGCATGTTTTTAATCAATGTTAAGTAATAAGACAGTAAGTCATACCACAAGGTTTACAACGAGACTGACACCATCTGAACCATCTGACGCTTTGCGCAGTGAGAAATTGGGCGCGATCTTGCCCAGGTTCCCCATCTCTTTTGTAAAGCAGTCACAATTCTACTGTGAGTGTTCAATTCAATGCCTCCTCTGACAGAAGGCTAACAGCACCTCTCATCCAGAACTCCATGCTTAAGTATAGCGTGAGTTAGTTACAGAGCAATACCTCCTCTGCACAACCCTATCGGGTACTCCAAGGTGAGTAAAAGCACCAGGTTAGACATAGAACAATGCTCCTTCTACACTCTCACCGAACACGATGACAGCATCTTTTGATAGCATTCTACCCGTCAGCCAAACGACTGCACAGTACAAATTCTAATGCCAACTACAAAACATTTCATGGCACTTCTGTATCGTAGGAACATGGGAACATTCAGCCCCTCGAGCCTGTTCCGCATTTCTATTAAAATCATGATCTGTACTTCAAACCTAATCATGCATCACACAGA